TTCTCAGAAATCTTGAGTTTCTTAGTGATACGAAACTGGCCAAATGAACCAAATAGTAACTCATATAAAATCAACAGATCAAAATTCAAAAGTGGATCATCATCAGAGTTAGCATTTTTTCAAATTTTCAAATTAAGATATTCACTTTCGAACGTAGCGTGGGTTATATAGGGTTATAAAGGAACTTAGAAAAATATATTGACTAAAGGGCTGAATGCTCACTGACCAGCTAGCCCTGGTAAAAAAATTTGCCTCATCATGAAATACCTTATATATAAATGTCTTCATTTCTTTGAAATTAAACGATTAGTCAACTCTTATAAACTTTTGCAGCATTCATTTTCACGCTTCCTATGCAATCCTAAAATGTATCTATGCAAATTGGCGTCGATAATCGCATTACTTCGGAATTTCAAAAATGATCTCGACACCACAATGCAATTGTTACATTATCCGGTAATACATAAATATTAATGCAGGATCACAAAATGCACAAAAAATCTCTATGGTCATGATTTTATTATATAACATCACGTTATGTAATGAAATTATTATCTAATATATAGATATGTGTTACTAGTCCGCACTTTGGCAAATCAATATCGCGAAATTCTGTTGAAGTCATGCATGGACAGATGCGAATGTTTAGGACTAAATAATCCGTCAAAGGTTATGAAATTGAGTATTCATTGGGTAGAAAATAGATTGCCGAATTATTTCACTATCTCGCAATTGTTTCAAAATAAAGGACCAAAGTTTTACTCCAAGAAAGATACGCTAAGCAGCTGACATTGCCAAAATTAAAGAAAGAAAACGTCTATGTGAATACGGTGAATCAGATACACTAAATTTCAACAGCAAATTGAGGTTTTACTGAAAATGATGGTCAAATGTGATCAAAAAGAGCTTTTCGTTCTTATCTTTTAAAATAAGTATTTTATACGATACCTAGTTTCGCAGTCTTTTATCAATTAAGTGGCCTGAATTTCGAAATCATTTGAAATCAAGTAAATTATCAAAATAAGACAGCGTAAAACTTCACGAGAATCGATCACTCCGGAGAGCGCATAGCTGCTACTTAGCTAAAGGTCTCAGTTCACGTTTACTAGCCCAGTCACCATGTGACGGCTAGTAAATAGATTTGATCTACTTGCCATTGAATAAACTAAACTTAATACTTTCGTCTGTCCAACCAAAAAACTGCCAGCCATGGACAGCTGTTTCGTACCCATCAGCATGGTATAGGCTTGATCTCTGGTCTCTGGGACAACGAACTAAAGCATTGCAACTACATATCCTCTATCCAGGAGGTTCCGTCTATCGAAGTAAGACTGCGCAAAGCACCATCTATCACCAGAATCGACCACTGCGTAGAGCGCATAGCTACTATTTGTTGAAACTGTAAACATCTCAGTTCGCGTTTATTAGCCCAGTTAATATGTGACCGCTGAATGACTGACTATATTGTAGATGTGGTCTACTTGCCATTGGATAAACCTTTTTTGGTATTCGGGTGCCCCTGATCAAGGCCATAGGGTAAAGACGGAATAATATCCGTTTCCTGAATGAAATACCTATCTGAAATTTTACTATATAGATCAAAATTGTCTATTTTTCCAGACACTACACAGATCTACCTATAATGTGGAGCACAACTGTGTAGGTTATACCTATGTAGATTTGTAATATTATAATTTCAGCCACATTTCAACAAAATGTGCTCGTAAATGAAATTGTATGTAATGAAGTAACAGCCCGCGCATAGAACAACAGCTTGTCCTAGCTGCTTTCCAGCAAACAACGCAATTGGATTTGAAGCGAATAGGCTTTAAACACGGAGGCTTCACACTCAAGATGACGGCTGAAACGTAACAAAAGGTAGTTCCGACGTGTATTTAACTATTTCGCTTGCTGCTATATTTTTAGATTTCATCTTGCCGTCTATTTTCCTTGATTTTAATTCGTATTTTTTTGTTTGAGGGTTTGATTATTGCTTTGATTCGTTTTTAAAAAAATAATTTTCTATTTATTAGATTTTATATGCAAAAGCATGCCTTTCAATAATCGGTATTACCTAAATTACAAAATAGATGAACAAAGCAAGCTACTAAACGAGGTATTTACGTATCTATAACAAATTGATAGCTTTGACTTTTCATGGGTTTTTAAAGCTCCAACCAAAAGGCTGGTGTTCGAAAGGCAAGCGGGGAACAAATTTGTGCTCCGCAGGGGCATTATGTCCAAAAGCGAAAAACTGTCATCTTGCGTACAAGGTAGTATGCGATTACGTCATCAACGCCATATACAATAAGTATAAGATCGAGTCTGCATACCATGTGCGGATCTTAATCTTGAGCGCATCTGCTCCTCTCTCTAGTATGCAAGAAGTGGGTAACAAGGACCGCTTTTGCATTCTCGTCCTGGAGATACTCTAATAAATTTAGCACGAACTGTCGGCCTTCTCCATTGATCGTATTTCCGGGCATTGTACAATTTTATATTGAAGATTGATAACAGGACAACTCAAATTGCACGCCGATGTCAAGTAAGTTGTCAGTCCGACAAATATGATTGAACGGCACTCATACGTAAGGACAAAGTTTTCTTGACGGAGACACATAACTAAAAAATGTACCTATGTATTTGAGCTTATCTACCGAATAAACGTCCACACACAGAGGTAGGTTGCATGTGTATGTATCTTACTTTGACCCGCAAAGAACGGTGACTACAACTTATAGCTGAAGCATCCTGACGTTTAGCAAACACAAACAGCTATACAACGAATTCACATGTGTACAGCAGCTAGTGCTAAGTTAACATCTTGTAGAAAAACTTACGTTTTGTCACAAAAAAAAACAACAAAATGTCAAAAAACCGACAAAATGTCACTTTTCAAAATACCGTGCCGTGCATCAAACCCAAACCACCAAAGATAAACTTGGAATAAGTCTTTATTGCATATATGCAGTGCACAAACCGGCCGGCTGGAAAGCAGCTCTTGTTAAGAATGTGATGTTGAGTATTTTTAACTTATTAACTAAACACTGTTTCAACTTATGGCGGTGCAAGCCATGAAAATAAAATCGCTAATTACTTAAGGTTTGTTCGTACAGTGGTCAGTAACAGAAAAAAACAGAATTTGAGTGGGGGGATCTTTGACACGGTCACTGGTAGGTTAGCGACTATCAAGGGCGGATTCAGGACTTCGTCTAGGAGGGGCGCAAACGACATTTGGGGCTGGTAATTTTTCTACCTCAGTGGAACTTCTAGAATTCATCCTATTATTGCTTCTTAAGTCCATTGTGTTCTATCTGTTCAATGCCAACTTGAAAAAAACATGGAAAGTGCTCAGAAAGGCCATAATTTATTATATGAGAACAAAAGAATCACGTGGCATTTATAATTAACTAGTGTAATAATATTAAATATTAAAACATAAAAAACTTCATTGCACTGTTAACCAAAATAGACATTTTGCGGGAGCCCGAGACATATCCCAGCCATTCCACACAAACAATGTCTTTGATGGCGAAAACGAACATGAGACCGAAAAATTCACATTATCGTATGGACGCTAGACTAGACAAAGACCGTGTCTTGAGACCGTCTCCAGACTGCCTATAGACAAATTGCGCAACGGGGTCTACTAGTGTGTACTAAGCTTAAGAATTAATACTCTGAACTACCCGTTAAACAAATCAAGTAATTGGTGTAAATACTGACACGATCAGGCACTTCTATGATATCAGCAGATGATAAAAAGATAAATAGGTATAGTCAATTATTTTATGAAATTCAATATAGATGTTACAGTTATTCTTCAGACTTTCGTTGTCGAGCTTAGATTTATGGCATAGTTGTTGTTTTCTCAGTTTTCGAATCGGTGTTGATCGCATGTAAAAATGGAAAAAACTATATATGTTAGATCGTTATTGTTTTGATAATATATGTTTGTACGAAACAAGAAGAGGAATACAGGGCTGTACATATTCACGTGTAGTGCAGAAGCTCTGTGTCTTAAACGAATTCCAATATAGCAACATAAATACAAACATACGCGGGAAGAAATGCGGGACGTGTGGTATTGAGTTTGAGCATCGATCGACGCATTTTCTGGACAGGCTACAGGTGCACCGCTAAGCAAATCTCATAAATGTATATTTCCAATGTAGGCGTTTATCTATCATGTAGTCTAATGAGAAGAATGAGAAAACGTGTTTTTTCGGATTCAATCGAAAGTGTTGACAGGAACGAAAAAACTTTTATGCAAGATTTTTAGGTATTTAAGTGACCTACAGAATGAGGCCACACGTGAAAAGATCCGACCAATAGCAAAAATGTTATGGCCGAAAAAACAGGCAAAATGCAGGTTTTATAGGTAATGCGACGATAATTTTACGCAACTACTTGAAATTCTTCAAATCCGCAGGATTCATACTTCTGCATAACAACAGCAAAATTGGAGTATAACGGTCAAGTAGTTTTTTGAGAATATCTAATTGTTTATCCCAAAACACCTGTTTTCCGGACATCACTACTAGTTTATTGAGCCATATACAGGATTATTTCAAAGAGCATTTTACAGCAAAATACACTAATTTACCTTGCCGATATGAATTACAAACCATTGCGAAAGATAAATGTTACTTTTATGCGAAAAACAAAGGTTATGTTTTTTCTTCAAAGCAAATTCAAACATTTCGTATTTGTGAGTAATTGAGCAAATGCGCTACGATATTCGAAATACATACGTTACTGTACACATTCTAAAACAAAGCGCATGTAGCTATCATCTTTTGTTGCGAGTTACTCACAAATACAAAATGTTTGAATTTGTTTAGAAGAAAAACGTAACCCATCTTTTTTTTGCATAAAAATAACATTTATGCAAAGAGCTGACAGCGTCGTGAGTGACATTTGTGCACAATTTGACAACCATGTTGCATCTAGAAAAAATAGCAGCTACACATTGACATAAGTCAATCATGTTGTCCTAAGGATAACATGGGACTGTATCTTCTTCAGTGTTTGTGTTCTGTATAATGTTCTGTGTTTTGGGTTTGTGTTCAACATAACCTCATATAGTATGTTTATGTCTTGTATGTTGTATTTGTGTTTACGTTTTTAAAACAGAAATCTTAACAATTAAACATGCATCGGCGTGGTGGTAAAAAAATTCGCATGGATGATCCTCCTCCTGAATTTGAATCTCCAGTAATCCATACAGAAGATCATTATGGAGGCAATTATATGCCACAGACCCCGTATAGAGATTCTTACAACGATCAAGCTGCTCCATCTACTAGTGTAGATTTTGAGTCTCCTCCTACTCCTGGTAAGTAATTAATTCGCTTAGCCTTTGACTTTAACAAATTATACGTTTTCAAAGATATGTTTGGTTTACTATCAATACATTCTACACATTACATATATACAGTGGCTATAGAGTAGGGTTATAACGTTTTTGCCAGGACAACTGCAAAGACAACAAACCAAAGGTCTTTTAAACACTATAGATAATATATTAACAAAATCAGCTGAATGTTTCTTGAAGCTTTTGAGTTTTTAGCAATTAGAGATTCAAAATTGCATTTTTTTCATATATTTGCTCAGAAGGTGCTCTATTTAAAAAAAAACAAGGCACCAGCTTAAAGCAAAACATGATTATGATGATTATGAATTATTGCAAAATAATGGCATCACCTAGCAGAAGTTTTAACACTATAACACCCCAGCTGCTATGAGGAGCTTAAAGAAACTTTGTTGATCCAATTTTTGAATTGCTCAAGTACTAGGAAAAGATTCCTCAGGGAGATTGTTCCACAATCCTGTGATACCCCAGCGACAAAGAAGCGGTCATATCAGTCAGTTCTAGGTTTACTAAGTTTGACACGGCTGTGGATCAGATTAATCATACAGGAAAGGAAGTCATTTATATGTAAGAGGAACAATGTTGGAACCAAGGGCGATCCCTGGGGAACACCCACATTGACATTGTGGAGAGAAGAGGTGAATCCATCAATTACAAGGGATATCTTGCAGGCATAGACGAAGTAAGCCACCTATCTGCAAAGCCTATATGAGATGCCACAGGATGGAAGTTTGCATTAAAGGGCAGCATGCCACAGTTGATCAAATGCTTTTATGATTTTAAGAGAAATGACCTGAGCCTCACCATATGACTGGATGGGTTTATTCCATAGTTGACGTAAGTTAGGAGTTCCCATGTGGATCGCTGGTGCCGGAAACCTGTCGCTAAAAAAGCTCCCGATTGACGAACCTCTCTATTATCTACTTATAACAAAAAGCAGAGCTATAAGCCTGTAATTGTAAATATCGGTCTCAGATCGTCATTTTAGGATGAGCAGGACAAGATCGTCATTTTAGGATGAGCAGGACCTGAGGAAGTTTTCAGTTTTCTGTGAAACTGTATCTAGTGGGGACATGAAAGAACTGGAGCAAGCTCCATTATACTTCTCTTCAATAGAACAGCAGGAATAATGTTAAGCGACAAGAGCATTCATCTTACGGTCTGATGTGTGAAGGTTACTTCTCACATAGTGTAGGGATTGACGGCAGTCCGACTTTGGACGGGACGACCATGGTGGAATTGGCAGTTAAGATCTTGGCAAGCTCTTCCGCCTTAGCCTTTGAGTCGGTTACAATCGTTCTATCCTGACATGTAAGCAGTGGAAGGATACTTTTTGAGAAGTTCCCTTGAATCTGTTTGGCATACGTCCCGAAAGCCCCACTGCAATTACGCTGCGACATTATCCTGAACCTAATTTTTACAGTGTGCTGGTCTTTGGCATTGCAAACTGCTCCGTTATATTTTTTTCTGGACTCTAGATCGGAAGAAAACTTTGTAAGCATGGGTATTTTTGTTCTACGTATAGAAATCTAAAATACAATAAAGTTTTGAAAAAAACAGTCCTCAGCCATTTTCCATAAGGTTTCCGCGTTTTGCACAAAAACTTTCTACACCCAGAAATTGTATCTAATTGATACGTTTTTAGGTATGAGAAGGATTACTAGGTCCAAAGCGAGAGGCGTCAATAACCCGCCACCTCCCACACCTTCTTATTCACCACCTAGCCGAGAAGGTAGGGGCAGAGCTAGAGGAAGACCTCCGGGAAGAAAAAATAATGTTGGAGAAATAATTCGCGCTGAGACTGAGGATGCTTCCTTATATCATATAATCAGAAATAGCAAAGCATCTTTGACCAACATTGTCGATGATTGGATTGAGAGTTACAAAGTAAGGATATGATACTATTTATTAATTATATATGCTCCTCTCGCTAATCTCTTAGGTGCATAGTGTTTTCTAAAAATGCAACGTAAGCAATCCCAATGGTATAAATAGGTGTTACGGCCTCATTTTAATGTTACCCAGTTAAATTCTGTAAGAGTCACTTAGTTCTAAACCTGAATTCAATGGTTCCTGTAATATCGCCCAATATTTGTAGCAAATTTGGAATGACCTTGAATTTCTGGCTATATTTTTCAGTATTCTCTGAAAAATTCCTCACTATTTGCTATGATCATCCTACTCTCCTTCCATATGTTGTCAAAGAATAGTCCCTACATAAAAAATGATTTTCACATTTTCTCTGGATTCAAACATCTCTAACTACCTAGTTCTGGTCAAATTACGATAGATTCATAGCTGCTTTAGGGTTTTTAGTTTGGATGCATGCTGCTCGTTTAACTTACACTTCTTGCTCTTTGCTACTGAAACCATGTGGAGCGAGGAAATTTCTTAGTTCTATTCAAATTTGAGAAGTAAAGAAAAATATACTGATTCCATTCTTGTAAGTACATTCAGAATATTCGTTCTGGAGACAAAATATTCATATTCCGCTGAAACACTTTGGAAAAGTAAATTTGCGTTTCCATTTATTTATGAATGTTATCTAAATATCTACTCTATTTAGATAAACCGGGAGGAAGCTCTTATCTCTCTCATGCAATTCTTCATCAATGCTGCTGGTTGCAAAGGCCACATCACCCAACAAATGCAGGCAACCATGGAGCATGCGGCCATTATTAGAAAAATGACAGAGGAATTTGATGAAGAAAGTGGTGAATATCCTCTGATAATGGCAGGACAATCTTGGAAAAAATTCCGGCAGAACTTCTGTGATTTTGTGCAGACACTGGTTAAACAGTGTCAATATACCATCATTTATGATCAATTTTTAATGGACAATGTTATTTCACTGTTAACGGGACTTTCAGATTCACAGGTATGATTTTTTTAGTATTACTAGTACATAAAAATAAGTTGCCTTAAGTGGTGATGTCGTACGGAAGCGGAAAGTTTTCTGTGTCTAGTTACAATCGCTGATGAACGAAAAAATGGCGTCAACTAGTAATTTCTATCGGTTAACTCGTGAATTTATATAATCGATTATTGAAAGATTTCAAGGAAAAAATGATAAGTTAAAGTGAACACTATTTTTCAACATTCTTAGAATTTAGAAGTTAATCTTTTTGGTACCAATTTTTTTTTTGTCAGGTACGAGCTTTCAGACATACAGCAACGTTAGGAGCTTTAAAGCTAATGACTGCTCTAGTGGACGTAGCTCTTACAGTGTCAATAAACCTGGATAACACCCAGAGACAATATGAAGCAGAGCGACAAAAAACACGTGAAAAACGTGCAAGTGACAGGCTGGAAGCATTGCTGGCAAAACGGCAAGAGTTGGAAGAAAACATGGATGAGATTAAAAACATGTTAACATACATGTTCAAGTCGGTGTTTGTGCATAGGTACAGAGATACGTTACCAGAAATACGAGCCATATGCATGACCGAAATTGGAGTTTGGATGCATAAGTTCCATGCCAACTTTTTGGATGATTCCTACCTGAAGTATATTGGTTGGACATTGCATGACAAGGTAAATATTTTTGCTTACCTCAAAGTAGATATCCAAAAAATATATGAGAGATGAGAGTCGTCCATTCAGATATTATTAGGTTGGTACGGCAAACGTAGGACTTTGTTCAAGGAATACAGAGTAAACAATAGAAGAGTAATTCTCTCGGAAAAACAGTTTTTGCCGAAGTGTTCAAGATAATAAATAATAATATATAATAATAAAAAAAATAGATCAAGATCTTGAAAATAAAGGTAAATCCAGGAATAAACCAGGATAATAACGTTTTATCAGTGCAGTTACAGAGACAATGGTCCTTAATAACAAACTCTGCAGAACATTTTATGATGTTTTTAAATTGAGTAGATCAAAACTTAAAAATGTCAAACAAGTGGGCAATGGCAAGTTGATAGTTTTGATTAGAAAATGCACTTTAAGTAGAACAATCCATAGACCTATATTAACTCCCTGTTCCACACGTTCCACTCAAGTTTTAAGAGTATCTAATGCAACAGAAACACTGAAGCTGTGAAGTTCAGCTTACTTTAAAGTTGACGTTAGCGAGGGGGTCCTATCGGGCATAACTATCTGTGACCTGCCATGCTATACCGGGTGATAAGCTATATTAAGTTTGCTGATATTTATTTGTCAATTCATAAATTTATATTTTCTAGGTTGGTGAAGTGAGACTACGTTGTTTACAAGCCTTACAGCCTTTATATGCCAACGAGGAATTGAAAGGCAAATTGGAGTTGTTCACAAACAAATTCAAGGATCGCATTGTAGCGATGACCCTCGACAAAGAGTATGATGTAGCTGTGCAAGCTGTCAGGCTGGTCATCTCTATTTTGAAGCATCACCACGAAATTCTCACTGACAAGGATTGTGAACACGTATATGAATTGGTAATGATATCATCAGTGTATTAATAATATTATATAGGGATGGGAGATGAATAGTATGACTTTAACCTTGAATGACAGAATAACATTGCAATCTCTCGAATACGTATAGAATACAAAAAATAGTATAAAAATGTCAGAGGATCACCTACGGACGCTACTGGAAATCGGTTTTGAACGACAGGGCAGAATTCAAGAAAATTTTGACAGCAACTAGTTCAACTGGCAGATCGCCGAGGATAGACTAACCCCAACGTAATATTGCTAACAAGTTTTACACTATGTATCATACTGGCACAACCATAACATTTTAGAAAAGGTTGTCCGTCAGGCTGGAAAAAATGTACTCTTGTAAAAAAAAATAATTTTGGCCAGCGATCCATTATACTGGTTACGCCATTGTGTCAACATAGTGATTCTGATAAAACGTTCGTTATTCTCAGAATTGAGAGAGTGAGAGCTTGAATGTAACTGTAATATTGATATAACCACCATAAAGACCCGCAGTGTAGAGTCATTATTCCCGCAACCCCTGTTATTTTTGCTTGATGTAACCCTTACATACCGCTTAGTTATAATTTGCCCAAAGTAACTTACCGCTTTGTATTAGATTTGTTTTTCAAATTCGCAAGTTCATATTGAATGTTGAATCCCTCTGTCGCACAAGAATATAGTTAGTGTCAAAATCCTTTTACGGCGTCTTTCTTCACATTCTACCGTTAACCCAGTAATTTTTAGCTGGAAAAAAACTACTTGTCTACGGTATAGAAATATGAGACTTACATATTAGAGGAATTCCAAATATCTACATATTTGGAGAGGTTTTTGGTAATAACTTTTTTTTGCTTTTAATCGGATGTATCGACTTATTTTGTGTCTAATATCTAAAATCTTATTTGAAGAGTTTTTTTTTCGTGCACTTGGGATTCCATCCTAAGAAACGCATCTTCTCATTCTTTGCTGTTGAACAAAATTGTTTTTATACAGAAATTGAGCTATCCATTTTGAATCCAAACGTTTTGATTAACTTGTATAATTCAAACATAACAAATTTGCTAATATAGTTAGACTATATAAACTGTGTCATATTCTGTCCACCCCAATACTCATTTTGAATATTATGCCTGTTACATGTCTTTCTTAATTGTGGGCTATTTTAAACATTTTCAGGTATATTCGTCCCACAGGGCAGTTGCACAGGCAGCGGGTGAGTTCCTGAACGAACGACTTTTCCAGCCTGGAGACGTTGAAGCCGGAAAGACAAAAAGGGGGAAGCGCAGACTGCCGAATACGCCGTTCATCAGAGATTTGGTGCAGTTCTTCATTGAATCTGAGTTGCACGAGCACGCTGCGTATCTCGTAGATTCGCTAATAGAGTCAAACAACATGATGAAGGTATTTTAATTTTATTTGGACCAACTTATTCAAGATCTAATTGTCAATTTTGGGATGTCATTTTAAACTGAGGACGCAGCTCATCTGTAGATAGAGCTTTTTTTTCTTTGAAAATATGTTATTAGAATCATTGCATCAGTCATGTTGGAATTAAAAATGGGCCATTTTACCATTTAAACCATTCTATAACTTTTTTATCTTATTTTTCCACATTTCAAATTTGAATTACGCGGCAACCGTATACGCGAGGAAGTGGGGAGAGGGCTTGATCGACGCGTTCGGCGTGCGGGTTAAATAGTCACAATGGAACGTTGGACCAGAGCGCAACGTGCTTTTGCTATCGAGGCTTGCTTTAAGAGTGGTGATTGATACGCAGTTGCTCTTCGGAAACTTTGTTCGCGATACAACATTCGCCGACCAAGAGATCTTCCAAGTAAGAACCTAGTGAAAAAGTTGATTAAGAAGTTCCGTGAAACAGGCTCTACTCTTAGTCAACCAATTCCTGGCCCCACACCTACTGTATCAACCGAAGATGTGCGCCGAGGAAGTGAGTCGGTCATTGCAAATCCTCGGCATTCCGCTGCTTTGGGAATCCTTGGGTCAACACTGCATGGCATAATGAAGAAGAAAATGGGTTTTCATCCTCATAAAATCCAATCAGTCCATGCTTTAAAGGAAAGTGATTACGTATTACGGAAATCTTGTGCTGAACGGATGTTGAATCTTTTTCCTACGCAGCGCAGACTGGAGAACGTTGTTTTCAGTGACGAGGCTCATTTTCACTTAGACGGGTATGTGAACAAGCAAAATTGCTGATATTGGCCACCAACGAACCCAAAAGAGAAACATCAACAACATCTATATACTCGTAGTCCGCTATTTGGTGCGCCATATCCTCTAGCGGTATTATTGGCCCGTATTTCTTTGAAGATGAAATAGGTCATGCATTGACAGTGAATTCCGAGCGATTTTTTGCTCCTATTGTAAGAACAGAACGTCGATTTAACAGAAACACATGGTTTCAACAGGATGGGGCCTCTTCCCATACTTCCAGAGAATCGATGGACGGTGAAAGCACATTTTCCTCAAAAAGTTTTATCGAAGTTTGGCCTCCTAGGTCACCCGACCTCACGTCATGCGATTATTTTTTGTTGAGTTATCTAAAGTCAAAAGTGTATTCCAATAATCCACGAACACTGGAGGAGCTTAAAGACAACATTCGACGAGAAATAAACATCACTCCGGAACTTTGCAAGAGAGTGTTTCGGAATTTGCGCGCGCGATTAGAACAGTGTGTCCGAAGGGATGGCAAACATTTGGATGGAATGTTGATAGTAATAATTTCTTTTTATTAAGTTTGTATTTTTTGTTTTTCTTAAATCAAAAAGTTACTTTCCCACTGGACACCCTGTAGTTGCTTCCGTCCTCAAATTTTACTGCCTAAAAACTGAATTTGCTTATAGTAGTATAAAAATGAAACTGCCATTCTTCAATTTAAGGATTGGGAATGTATGACTGATCTGCTACTAGAAGAGCCAGGACCTCATGAGGAACCTTTAGACAACAGGCAAGAGACTAGTCTTATAGAAATTATGGTATGTTGTGTGAAACAGGCGGCAACTGGCGAGGCACCAGTGGGTAGAGGACCTACTAGAAAAGCGTCTTCAATGAGAGAAATGAAGCAGGTTAGTTTATTCAAGTCCTAGTATTTTCAGATTAAGAATTAGCAATTTATGATTAGCTATTAGTCAAATGAATTGATTAATTAGCTGAGACGACCATGATGACATTCGTTATCTAAGACATTAATCAGATTTGTCTCAAAAAAATACAACCGGAATTCGACAGTAACTTAAAGCTCACCATTGATGCGGCAATATGATACATATGGATATCAAGTGGAGACTATTTGAGACAGAAAGGGGGGGATATGAGCCAACTTACCTGATTACTAAAGTTTAATACAAAAGTTGTAGGGTCAAAAATAAAGTTTTTCATTCAACACCTTTTTTTGTATATGCACTTAGAAACTAGATATCTATTTCAATATGCCTCATATAACGTAATCTGTCAAATATTTTCGTGGAAAAATATTAAAAGTTTCGTATTATTTTTTTTTTTAGACTGGCGAAGATAAACAGAAATTGACAGAACACTTCATTGTTACTCTTCCTCCTCTGCTGGATAAATACTCGGCAGATCCGGAGAAGCTGTCTAATTTGTTGAGTATCCCCCAATACTTTGATCTAGATCTGTATACTAGCGGTCGACAGGAGGGTTCACTGCAAGCTCTTCTTGCGAAACTGAAGTATATTGCTCAAGTTCACCATGAACCAGAGGTAAGTGTCAGGAGGTTTTTAAGGATGTTTTCTTCTTTCGGATTTCGTACCGAGCATAGCATCTGGAACAGCCATCAGTTTTGTTAACACAATTGACGAAAGTATTAGCTCACTGAGAATGTTTAACAATATATGAATTTTTCAGGTGTTAGAAACGCTTGCAAAAACATTGGAGGTCCTTTGCACTGAAGGTCACTCGATTTATACCAAATGTGACGTAGAACGATCAACAATCATAGACATGATCGTAGAAAACTATAAGGAAGCAATAGATGATTGGAGAAATTTGCTATTAGGGGAGGAAGAACCAAATGCCGATGAGGTTTTTAACGTTACTAGTACACTGAAGAAAGTGTCTATGTTTTATGCTTGTCACAACTTAAACCAGTGGAATTTATGGAATACACTGTTTCAAGATGTAAAGGTTGGTATCCTAAGGTTTTCTAATTACATTTCCTTTTGATCAATTATAGTACACTTATAATAAATTTATTTATATTTACGTATATCTCAATCAAGACGAAAGAGTTCTGTATATACTGTAATTTGGGAATTTATAAGACTCATACTTTCCGTGGATAGCTGTTATTATGATTGTGAGTGTTTCATTTTTGGTCAAAATTAAATGACGGAAGATACTATATGGGAATATATCAAGTACATTTTTTAAAAACATAAACAACCCGACAGTAGTAACTGAAAAGAATCAAGATTTAATTGTGCTATGAGAAGAAATCTAGATACACCTCATATGCCAAAATCCAAACCTTATAAAGTGAATCCCTTGAAATAAAAATTTCAAGGTTTAATTTTGTCCGCAATTTTGTATTTATCAAGCTTTCGTATCCCCAGCGTCTCTGGCACTGTAAAGATGAATCCAACAACACCTCATATGTTAAAATCTTCCAAGTTATTTAAATGCAGCCCGTGAAATAGGATTTTTAAGGCTAATTTTTTTAATCCAAATATAGCTAGTGTCACTGCTAATAAGAATCCAACAACACCTCATATGTCCACTACATCAAGCCATTTCATCTGTAGTCTGTGAAATAGATGATTTTTTATTGAAATCCGCCATTTTACATACATACCCACGCGTAAACATACCTCCATCTGAGGCGTCGGGTAGAAATACGGTAATTTACTTGTATTAAAAAGCAACAGCTGATTCATTGTCTGCTACTTTCTGTAAATGGTTAGGACTTTGTTACACAGGACTAAATGATACACAATGTTTATCCCTGAACTAATTAAAATAACTATAATGAACCATATATACAAAGGGTGTATATAAGAGTTTTGCAATACAGCTTTATTTATTGACTTTGTTAAAAGTAGTTTCCACCACATTCAATAATTGCGTTCACGGGTCAAAAAATGAACCAGTTCGGAACTAAAACTGAACCATCCAGAATTACACAAATGCGCATGTCCAGTTATGTTCTAGTTCGATATTTTCGTTTACCGCTAACGACTTTGGAACTGTTGGCGTATTCAACACTGTTGCCAATTTGCCCTCAATTTTGTGCTGTTGCCGAGCTGTTATTCGATTGACACTATTGACAGCTTCCAGGTGTTGTCGGTACTTCAATAACTTCCAATAGTTCTTCCAAATCATCGTCACTAAACGATAAATGGTCCGACATCTTAAGCACAAAATCTTAAGCACTGAATCTTAAGAACTTGAGATGGAACACACAAAACATATGTATGGAGCAGCAAGCACTAAAAAGCACAGGTGACAGATTTTCACAGAATAGGTTAAACACTTTAAACCCGAACAGATGCAGCGGAAGATGAAATATCAAATGTCCGTAACGATGCTAATGCGCATGATCAGCCGGATCGAACTTTTAGTCTCACCAAAAATCTGAGAACCGTCAGGACCAATTCGGAATCAGTTCTGTACCAATTCGCTATGATCCAATTCTTACCGCGAACGCCGATTTTTGAAGTGCGCATGCGAGGTGGTTCAGAATCAATCCCGAATCGGAACCGCGAACGAAACTAATACACTTCTCCATCCGCCAAAACCAGTCCTTAAACCAGCTCTGCCAAGTTTCACCCAGTAATGGTGAAATACTCGGTGCAGGCTTTGGTGCTGTGAACTGGAGCGTTGTCATGATGGAGGTACCAAGTGTCCATTTTTCACTTTGTCCGGAGGTTTTTCATACTCTCTGACTTTATGCAAGCATCGTTCCGTGTACCGCTAAGTTGTGACTGTCTTCTCTGTGTCCAAAACGACACGCTCCACAATCCCGCTTGATTTAAAAAATTCATCTATCATTTTTTTCTTAACATATCGGGATTTTCTGACACCTACGGGTGTGCTCTCATCATCAAAGACCCAAACTTTGTTTTGAGCCTTGCTCGGCACATCGTAATAATAGAGCCAAGTCTCCTCACCTGTCACGATGCTTTTCACATACCTTATGTATCAGACTATGCGCTACCCAGAGAGAACAAAGTTTCCGTACGTGTAAGTGGTCATGCAGAATTAAATAAATTGCTGGTGCATGAAGGTGTAAGGTCTCTTCTACCTGTTGGTATATCACTCTCCGGTCTTCGTCAAACATTTTCCTCACTGCAGTAATGTTTTCTTCTGTTACTGACGTCCCTCGCAGCGTCCTCCAGAGTAAAATTGCCCATTTAGAATCCCCTGTACAACCTGAATATAGTCGTACGATGAGGACAATCATTCTTTAATGCAAGCGTCATTTCTTCTAAGCACTGGTCTATGCTTAAACCACGCGTAAAGTTATACCATAAAGCTGCCCTTATCTCACTACGTGACCACAATGCAATAGTCCGCACTGTCAATACGAATGAACAACTAAATCAACAGTCCGGCTGCTGGCGGCTACTATGTACTCATGGACATGTCTCAACATGCAGTAACATGCAGCCTCCTGTGTCCGTTTGTCAGGTCTTATTGCAAAACTTTTATAGTATTCTTTGTACATGTGTAACAAGACAAAAGGCGAATATCATCTTGATTAAAAATAAACGGGTGTTGCGTTTAAGAACTATTGGGTGGGCCATTTAAAAGTTTCGATTTAAAAATAAAATAAAACAAAAACGGTTTGAGATATTGCCAAATTTATTTTTTTGTTTTGAAGTACAATTGTTCCGCTCAGAAATGAAATATTACTTCATTCAAATGGCTGCCGCGGCTGGCCTCACAGTAGCCCATTCGATCGGACCAATTTTCGAGCACTTTTTCGAGTGTTTGGGGCCGTATCTCGTCAATGGCATCACGAATGTTGGCCTTCAAATGGTCAATTGTCTCTGGATGGTCGACATAACACTTGTCTTTAACAGCGCCCCACAGGAAATAGTCCAATGGTGTCAAATCGCAGCTTCTTGGCGGCCAATTGACATCACCATTTCGACTGATTAAACGGCCATCGAAGGTTTCGCGCAATAAGTTGATTGTGGCATGCGATGTGTGACAAGTTGCACCATCCTGCTGAAACCAAACATTCTCCACATCAATACCATCAAGAGCAGGAACAAAAAAATCAGTTATCATGGTGCGATAGGTGTTTCCATTGACAGAAACGGTTGCGCCGTCCCCGTCTTCACAGAAATATGGGCCAATGATGCCTCCGCTCCACAATCCACACCAAACAGTCACTCGCAAGGGATGCATTGGCTTCTCTAAGACCTCGTGTGGGTTTTCCGAGCCCCAGATACGGCAATTTTGCTTATTGACGTAGCCACCAATATGAAAATGAGCTTCGTCTGAAAAGATTATTTTTTTCGCAAAATCGACATCATTGATTAGTTGCTCGTTGGCCCATGTAGCGAAGGCAGAACGAAGTGGATGGTCACGCGGCTTCAACTCTTGAACCAATTGAACTTTGTAAGGCGTCATACCGAGATCTTTCCGCAAAATTCGTCGTAAACTGGTGCGGGAAATGTTCAATTCTTGGGAACGATGACGTGTTGACGTTGATGGATTTTCACGCACACTCGCAGCCACAGCATCGATACCTTCGGGTGTACGCACTGTACGAGCACGCTGACGTGTTGGAGCATCAACAATGAAACCAGTTTCACGCACTTTATTAATAAACTTGCGTATACCGGGCGCTGTTGGTGCTTCGTTGCGACCGAATTTTGAACGGCATTTTCGTGCAATTTCTGCCCAATTGTCTTTGTTTTGGAAATAAATTTCCAATATTACCCAACGTTGCTCAAGCGTAAATCGATTCATTTCGTTCAGCGGAGATAATATACTGAATTTTATGACAAATCAGATTGACATAAGTATTGTCAGCGTCAAATTAACACGTGGTTCAAATCGAAACCGATAGATGGCCCACCCGTTACTTCTTTATTTTCCTGCACTTTTCTGAGATCCTGTATATGGATGAGTCATTGAGTGAAAAACTTTATATTAGAACCCTATAACTTTTCTATATAGCTTCTTTTTCTAACCGGTCATATAAAAGAATTGGAGAAATTCCATATAATATATTTTTCTTTTTATATTCTTCTTGGAGCGTGATTTTTCAGTAGTCGGGTTCAAGTTTCTGAACTTTTTTTTACTAGGATACAGAAACAGGGTTGCCAGCCGAAGCCCAGAAATACTGCCTGAGTGCTTGCTACTATGCTCTACTGTGGGGACTTCGGGACGTAGAAGCCCAGAATGAGGCTTCCACCTTGACTCACTCTGTTGTTCAAGAACTTGCAAGCAAACTGGGAGCATTCATGGATGCTTCGCAGGATCTGATAAGAAATTCGCCACATGCAGTCATCAAAGAAGAGGCATATATAGGTCTATGCGATTTATTGATCATCTTCAGCGAGCAACTTGGGAGCACCGGCGGTGAACAATTGGCGGACTTGATCTGCAAGCCAGATAGGAACTTACAGGTGATAATTCTCTAATAACATTTTTGCCAGGTCAGTTGGTTTTTTAAAACGAAAACATGGACGTTTCGTTTTAAAACACCATTGCTGTAACCTCACTGATGAGTAAGTGTTCTGAAAATTCAAATCCTTAATTTGCTAGCTTCATATTTGTGTTTTAGCTCCTGAAGATGATAACATAGTGTATCAAAAGCTGGAGATTAGAGTCAAAAGAGTTTCCTAAGCTGGAAGTTTGCCAATTCCCAATTAATAATTAATTGTATTTCTTGCCCAACTGGTCGATGGCAATGGCAATGACTACTACTCGCATATATATGCGAGTAGTAGAGGTTTATTAGGAACTTTTTCACATTGGTGCAATCTTTGATTTGTACTATCTTTATTTTAAGGTTCTCCTCAATGAATTTGTACAAACGTACGTGTTTATACCGGAACAAGATGCTGAACACGATGAACATAGGATAGAAGAACTCCATAAACGTCGTAATTTCTTAGCTGCCTTTTGCAAACTCATAGTATATAACATTATGTCAACGAAAGGTAGGTATCCTATGTATGGGTATCTATTTGTATGTGTCTTATATAGGCAACAATTTATTGGTTTTCAAAATATTTTCCGTCACATTAAATACGTTCACCATACTTAACTACGAGGCATTAAACCAGCCCTCCCATTGCACTCAATAGAAATACGCAATGACTCCCAGGCTGCAACAATTCCGTCCTTTTAGCAACAGTAAAAACCAAAATAGACCAGGAAAATCAGTGAAAAGACACCTGGTTGGGGACACTTGAAGATACAACAGACTAGTAGTCGTTTTAGATACTGTTGGTTTATTCTACCAGGTTCTTTCCAAAATCTGCAGAACATTCTATGAAGTTCTTGAATTCTTGTCAATAAAGTTTATATTTTTTTTCATATTTCCGCTCACAAATAGACTGTATTTTTCTGGGAGATCTTCATAGCAGCATTTATGCTTCTGCCTGCGCGCCTGCTTTGGTGTAAAAACTCTTCTTGTAGTATATTGAAAAACTATTTAATAGGTAGACACATTAGAAATCCGCCGCAGATGTTTGAAATTTACACCACGAAAGAGAAGAAGAAGAGTCCTATGAATCTATTGTTTTATGTTTTATAAACTATTCTTTTCTAAATAATATAATTGAATGAATGAATAATCTAATTGATGACAGGATTGTATGGTAAGTTCATAGTCAACCTACTTGACACCATTTTCTTGTACTTACAGCGGGAGCTGACGTATTCAAGCACTACGTGAAATACTACAATGAATATGGAGATATAATCAAGGCAACTTTGAGCAAAGCCAGAGAAATAAATAAAGTCAACTGTGCGCTCACAATGTGCCTAAGTTTGAACATGTTGTTCGAGGAAGTTCTAAAATTGACCGGAGGAAAAAACCCAAGACAGCACGAGGAGTTCTTTGCTTTAAAGGTGAGTTTATCTTCGGCTATTATTTACTCCTTATAATCAAAAAGGAAGAGGTTAAGAGGAAGTGGTTGAGTTATCCCAGACTCAAGTTTGCTTAAAAGTTACCTGAGTTTGTTTATCAAGGGTTTCGTCTGAATATATTTTATTTATTTATTTTCTACTGCACAAAATGCGTAAATCAAAGCCATAATTATAATCGCTGTAATTTCAATGGAAAAAAATCTACTAATACTGTACAACGCTAATAGGCGAATGTCATACGATCAGTATTGATGTAATGATATATTTATTGACCGTGTAACCAGGACGGCAGTAATTATTGGTGTATAAGGTTACGTAGAAATCCACTGACACTGGCGGAATGATCAGTAAATACTGGTGGTACGGACCATAGTAATTACTGATCATATGACATTCGCCGTATACAATCTAACACATTTTTTACACAGCCATCCAATCCTCAAACAAGAGCAAGCTATGTCATATGACTTTTATTTATATTTTTCGGATAACTATTATGACTTGGCCTATCCCCCGTTTTTCGGCTGGACGTCGAGTTCTGGGATACCCTGTATAAACTAATAGACTGAAATAATGAATTTGCTTTCCATCTCTGCGACCAGGACCAATCGTGTACAACGTTGTTTCATTTCATCAGTCCATAAAATTTTCTCTAGATATAGCGGATTTTCCCAGTGTAGGTGGTACGGGTACGGGTACGGGTGGTACGCAAGATTCGGTGGGCTGTACTTTTGAGCAGATCCGTGCTTGCTTCTATATGATGTACAGAAGTAATCGAGTTTCCTTCGTCTGTTTGTAGTACGACATCTTCATAAGGAAAGGAAATTATTCCATCATTTGCATGATTTGACTGAGAGTGATAAAGCCTAGCTGCAGCACTAGCATTGCATCTACCTTTCCCATAAATGAGGTGTATCTTGACGTATTCCTGCAGGGTGTGCACAATCATGAATTAATAAAAGTGGCGTTACTATCTGACTTGCTGTCACTACGCAGAATGACACTGTCCGCCACTCCGCCTAAGAAAAAATTGAAATTTGTAGTAATGGAAACTAAAAGATCATCACTGGGCGTAGATTCTTCCGTTTTTTTTTTAAACCTATAATTTGAACACACGCGACTTGGATTTTTTTATATTTTTCTGATAACTATTATGATTTGGTTGACTATCGAGCACGATGTCAACCAGAAATGTAGGGTAGCGTATGTGCTTTGACATTACCGACGTAGGTGTCGGGTGTACCGCTTTGGCGAACTACTCATAGGTGACACCGTCGAAGCACATTAAGTTTGATATTTAATCAAAAAGGCTATGATCTTTACAGCCTTGATTAAAATTTGTCTTCTGAAAGTCGCTCACTGTCTTGCCAATAAATGAAGCTATAGAGATCAAATAATGACTCCACTAATATTTTAATAGCAATGGCAGATATTTTCCAAGTACAAATGCAAAAAATTGGAAACCAATTTTGAAGTTTCAAATTAGTCGTCATCTTAGACAACGCACTCTGAAAAATATTGTTGTGTCAGTAGGTTGATTTTTTCGCCAGATAGAAAGTGGAAGTTGCACCTATGTAAAAAGTATATACACTGCGAATTCAAATTCGTAGCTCACCATAAGGATTTCGCAATCTATAAGAGATACTAAGTGGGTGAAATGGAACAAAGCTGGGCATTTAGGTAATTAAGAAAATGACACTTAGAAAGTTTCGCAATTCCGAGTATTCCGGAGACGGAAAACGAAGGTTTTTCCATGACATTAGTCGAGATGGGATTTCAAAATAAACATTAACATTACCACTTTTTCTTCTCTACAAGATGGCATAATTTGAATTACGATATGTTGTTTGTTGCTTGATCTCAATCATCAAGTTTTTTTGTCATGGAGATCACAATGGATCGAATTTGAAACACCCTGAATGTAACGATTTTCGTGTTTCTCTTGATAACTTATTTTGATCACAGGAATTAGCAAAACGGTTTGCTTTATCATTCGGCCTGGATGCTGTGAAAAATCGTGAAGCAATCACTACTTTGCATCGAGCTGGCATCTTGTTTGCTGTGCAGGGTAATGATGATTCCACCACCACCCTTGACCCTACTTCTACGCCACCAAACCTGCCATTCCTGGAAATACTTGCAGAATTCACCAACAAGCTGCTGAAGCAAGACAAGAGGGTGGTTATGACGTTCTTAGATAGAAGAATCACTACTGGTAAGTTGACACGAATGATATTGGATGTTCAAATTTCTGTTTTGGGAATATACAGAGCGTCAAATATAAGGAAGATATAATACCGGAAACTTATCCAGTGGTTTTCTATTGAAGGGTCTCCATTCTTTGGCCGCTAAATTGAACCATATATGTTTTATTGATCCAACGAAAAAATATGAAAACTAGGCCAGGATCAAGTGATGTCAAAATGTTTCAAAATGCATCAGATTCTAACTCACGATCCAAAAATGTCATCTCCAGCCATGGAGCGCAGGTAAACCAAAGCGATATCAAATTAAAATCGGCGCTTACTCAGGAGACCGAAAAAATACGATATGCTTAAAACGGAATTATATTTGCGTGAATCTTATACACATAATGCCTATCTATAACTTTTATTTTTTCTATTTGACCTTGACCCCCTGTATTTTGGGGATCCGCCGCTACTGTAACTTTGATAGATTTTAGTTTGCGCTAGATTTTTAATATTATCTTGAATGGTAATCACATTTTTTGCGTGAACTAATTCTTTCTTGCTATTCGATTCTTAATCCTTCATTTTTCCTAATTCTCCTACTTCTTTCATCGTATTTTTATTTTTTCCACTTGAACCCACTACGGTAAGATTCAAGTTCGGCTGACGGGCTTGAGTTCGATGTGTACGAGAGAAAAGCGCGAGAAGTATGTATACTCGTATGCACATATGTTAGAAAGAAATAGAAGCTGGCTGGATAGCGAAGCTCATCGCCACGTTGTCTAGCAACGCTGACGCGACAAATCTGCCGCGTTGTCAATGTTACACCAGTTCCTTCAATTAAAATGCATATTGAACGTTAGTTTATTATTTACCCACAAATAATGGTTTTATTTTGAGCGTACACATTTTTGAATTGTGTCGAATCTGTTTAGGATCGATTCCGGATCGGATGTTAAACTAGTTTTACTTTGCACACGTTTGTAAGGAAGGCACATATTAAAATAGCACATGAAGAGTTATAGAAAGCGTCAAACGCCGTGTCACCAGTATTTTCATTGTATCATATAGTTCCAGACAGTTTTCATTGAATAACTTATGGCGTAAGATATTTACATTTTCAATTTAATGTATTTACCTTCTCCGCAGGTATGCCGAGTAGTAGAAATGAAGAGTGGCAGCCATTGGTGTTGTATAGGAACTCCCTATTACACGGCGAGACTGACCAGCCTCCGACCACTAGTAAACGTGCGTACGGCAGAAAGAGGCACAGATCACCCGACTCTGATCAAGACCAAGACGACCTGTCAGATCAAGAGTTTCCTGGGAACCTTTATGGTTGAAATTACATTGATACAAGGCGTGTCAGAAAAACAAGTCAATTTATCGTGTGCGTATGGAACACAAAACTTAATTCCACAAGTTCCTATAAAAAATGTCCTACGGAGATACAGGCCCCTAAAGAACGCTACCAGAAATCGATTTCTCTCAAATAACTTTGAATGATATACTGTAGAATTCACCATCATATGATGACGATAGAAGGACTAACCCCAACGCAATATAGATATTTTTTTTACAGCCTGTATCATAATAGTCCAACATTTTTGAAAATCCTGACCTTTAAACTGAAAAAAATGTACTCTTGTTCGATACTGTTCCTATCGATTTCCATTGCAGCCACTCCTCCAAAAAAACTGACATACCTAAAGTGTACTCGAATGATTGAAAATTTAAATCCGGGGTCTAATAACAAGTCTGTCATCAGAATTACAATATTTCCAAAATGGAATATACTGGATCCAGTGGCAAAATTGATAGAACTCTATTAAGGGTGTTTTTCTGAAAACTGTCCCATATTTGTGATTTCAAACAGAAGTACATTTTTTCAGCTTAAGAGTCAGGCTTCCAGAAAATGTCTATGTACCGACTGTAAAAAATTAGCAACATCGAGTTGGGGTTAGTCTGTTCCTGACGACCTAAATTAAGCGAATTGTTTTCCATGGATATCATCATGCGAGTCCACAACCAGTTATTAATCTTTCTAACTCCACAATGTCGTTTAAAACTTATTTGAGAAAAACCGACTTCTGGCAGTATCCTTTAGGGACCTGTATCACTGTATATGACGATGTGGCATTATTTCGTTATATTCTATATCCATTCGAGATATTGGCATGTTATTATAAATTATTATAGCAGTTAGCACTGATAATGTTAAGACGGGAACACATAATTGTCAAGTCGCGTGAACTGACAAGCTATAACGATAACTCACGATACTTGGAATCTAGCTGACGCAAAAATATGTACTTCCAATATAGTATAGGTACCTTAGACCCCCATGCTTTTGTGAATCCATCAATTTTGAATTTGATATCTGTATTTGCGTGATGGCATATGCGTTGACGCGACGTCACAATAATGTCTCGCCTTTATTGTTCAGTATTATGTATTAGAAATAAAAGTATAATACATACATTCAATACAATTACCACCCTTTAGTTTTTGTTATGGGAGCCACATACTCAACGATCCGAAATAGGTAGAAGAAGCAATCATGCGATTTGTCTTCCACGATATCCTAGTCGGTAGTCAGGAAGCAAGTGTATACTATCAGCCGCTAAGACTTACGCCGCCAATTTGACAGTTCTTGACACTTCGCATTAAACCTTAACTACCATGGCTAAAAACAGTAACATGTATACCACGTCAGGGTCAAATTTGACACCTTTGTTTTTTTTTACATAAAAAATAAAATTTTTTACCTTGATGTTATTTTTTTTTCAACTAGTTTTGCATTTTTATAAAAAAACGAATATAGTTATAATTTTTAAAAAAGTTATTTATACAGTCAAATTAACAAAGATGTACACTTTCTAAAATTATAAGGAAAATTATAAAAATTTTTAGTTTTCTTATAGTCAGTGGTGAATCTTAGGTATCCTAGCTACTACCTTAAATAAAAAAAAATTGATTTAGATTTAGTATCTAAAAAATGGCAAGCATGTTTTTGACCTTACTTTTCAACACAACTTATGAATAACGTCTTCGTGCGGGCATGATTTCAAGTTCTTTCTGTGTCAGAGCGCGTATATTGCCATTACACCCCGCCATATCAAATTACTCGCTAATTGCACTAGAAACACTATACCATAAGCGGGTCAAATTTGACCCTACGTGTGCCTAACTCTGCAGTGGTAACAGATAAATTAATGGAATTTTAGTGGATCGATAAATCACCTGCCGGTCGAAGATTAGCAGAACGCGCGCAGCGCGCCACATATATTTCGGTAGCGAACCTTGACACTTGACAAACGTGGAGGGTCAAATTTGACCCCGCCATGGTACTTAAGAATTCGCAATTTTCTGAGAAAACATATAAAAATGCTTGGGTTTCCATACAGTTCCAGTGCACCAGACTTTTGTAGAATGCAAAAAGCAGTTTACACTGAATGAAAGCAAATCTTTTTATCAGTGTTAATATAGGATAGTTATTGGCATTGCAAAAGAGCATGTACTGCAACTTTGTGCTTTTACCTAGATGGTTGTGAAATTTTACACAGAGAAGCTGATGTTGCAGATCCTACTACAGCGCACTCTCAAGAGTTTGATTACCAACTAATTAACTGCAATCTAATAGTTTCATTCAAATACACTATACCATTCCAGTTCACATGTAGTTGTAAATAACACACTTTCTGTACGAAAAAGAAAAACAATATTACAGTAGGAAAAATACATTGTACTCTAAAAGTTGAACTACAAAATCTGCATTAATCTTATCTAAATCCTATTGTGGGGATTGGAAAAAAATGACATCTTCTGCTGCGATTGCTGTTGTAGTCTTGGACCTGCCATCTTCACCTTTCATCTCGCCATAAGTTATTCTACCAGTCACATGAACCCTCTGTCCCTTTTTAAGGTAATTTAATATTGTTTCCCGTAAGCCTGGTTTGAAGCATATAACTCTATGCCACTCTGTTCGTTGTAGGAATTCTCCAGTTTCATATCTGAAAAAAGAAAGACATCTAGCAAATGGAAGATGAATCCCCGACAGCTGTAAATACACCACCTTTATGATCTACTGTATGGCAAAATTTTGTTCTATTGAAAGTTTTATCGTTTTCGAGATTTTAAGCATTTAATTTTTTGACGCAATGCTGACCCGTCATAGTCTCGTGACATTTTTATAACTTTTTTGTACCCACAGGGCTATTACGTCAAAAAAAAATACCGACGAAGTGTCTTCTTGCAGATTAGGTTATTTTTTGTGAGCAAACAGTTCGTTCCGTTTGCTCGCTATGATCGGTGACTTTTAAGCAACATATACAGCTACAAAACGAGTTCACAACAAGTGTATAACAGCTTGTGCTAAGTTAACATCTTGTAGAAAAACCTACGAAATTTCACAAAAAACCGACGAAATGTCACTTTTGAAGATACGTAATACCCGGTTCATTTCAAAATACCCACAATCAAGTATTTCATCCCACCCAGTATTGTACAGGGTGTCCTGGAATCTGGAATTTTCCTTCTCAGAAACAACTACTTTTAACGTAACAAAAATATTGTGTGGTAAAATAGCACCAAAAATAAAAATTTTAAAAAATTCTCACTGCAGATTTGATACAAAATGTCAAGTACTACCTTGTCACTGGAGAAAAGTATATAAGTAACAAATAGAAAAAAATGTGATAGTGCATTGTGGCTTTTCAGATGAGTTTAAGGGAACAATTGGCAACAGCATGAATTAGAATCAATGGAAATGTTTCCTCCATTTCTCCTTTTTCTGATATATGGTTTTTCATATAAAGCAATACAGACAATCACTTTCTCATTATCACAGAACTTTAGAACAAGCAGAACCTCACTGAAATTATGGAAAACTATTAAAATAAATGTTTTACAAAATAAAGCAATTGATAGTGACAACACTACATATTATAAATACAAATTTCTTCATTCTATAGCTTGACATCAGGCCATAATAACGTGTAACAACCCCTAGGAAAAAAATCCTCGGGACCCTAATGAACAGAAGCAGAAAATGTGGTAAGCAGTTGGGAACAGAAAGATAAAGGGGACCCACAGCAGGTGTCACATCTGTCAGTGCTATCGGCTCTTAGAAGAGCCACAAAAAAATCTAATTGAAAAATTTTTTACAAAAAACCTCAATAACTGATTTTATGAAGTTACACTACCAAAATAACAAATTAACCATTATACGAACCGAAAAAAGGTGGCAGTCAACATATTAAAAGGTTTGTATCTACCTTCTGAACAACCTGTACATCAAGTTTAATCATTGAAATAGTCTGGTGCCCCATGGCCACCACACATTGGGTTTTCACACAAACAGTTAAATAAATAGGGATTAACCTGTAATTTGTATGTGTTGCCAGAGAAAATATTGCAACAGGTCGTTCCTCACTACCTTTTCTCTGGGGGTCTGCGCCTACTCTTCCAAGTAACTGAACACTGTTGATTGCTGAAAAATTAATAATAATACAACTTAAACTTATATACGAAAATAATTACAACATAAACTTATATACAAAAATAATAATTACTTTTTTCAATCCTCGGTGGTTCGACATCATGGGAAAAATGTTTAATCAAAACCCTATTCACTTGTTGCAGACAAATCCGAGTGGGGTACAAAATCTGTAAAAACAACTCATTCTAATTGTTGTGGTATTAGGTATATCATTAATTAATAATATACCTTATTAGAAATCATTTCAAAGCATTGGTTTAATGCGATTTGAGATCATAGGTTTATTGCAGGGTTGCAAGCCACAATTCACGGAAACACGAACCCAAAAAAATGTGAAACCCCTATAAAAATGTGCGGTAAAACTAGATGAAAGTCTTTGGTTAGAATCACATGCTACCATGCTAGAATCTAGATGTGGCTCCATCTAACCGCATCAAACGTCAGTCATGAATGAGCAGATAACAGATTTTTAACGTAGCAGCATGCGAGTCAACCTCCAGTGGGTGGAGGGCGCAACAAGTCAATTTTCAGATTTCATATACTCTATCCTTGGAAGGCTGACTTTGACTTTACCACAAAACATAATATAAATACCAGGAGAAACTACGGCAATGTAAATACGACCCCGAAACTTGACGTGGAGTATCAGTGTTGCTTTGACAGGGTTGCCATGTCTTTTCTCCACATTTGAGAGATATTTAGTTGGCGATTTTTTTTTGGGATATAGTGTTCCTGGGTAAATCACACGCTTCACGGATAGAAAGAATTGAACCAATCTTCCCCCTTTTCATTAATTAACTGTGATTTGAGGCATTTTTTCTTGAAGATGTATCAATTCTGCGCGATTTTTGTGCTTGTTCTGGGGATATTCTGTCCGACCGATATGGTGATGTACTTTAATAGATCGATACGAACATTTTTCGGTAATACTATACTTTAGCGCATATCGCAAATACTTCATTTCTTAGTTTAAAATGAAAGATTAGGATGTAACTTTTAGGAAATTATCATCTTTTCTTTAATGAAAATCGTTTTTTGCAAAAAAAATGGTTCAAAACCAGCCGTGTTATTACACACTAGCGGCCCGAGTAAAGATAACGTGGCCACGCAAGACAAGTATTGAAATATACTCTACTAGACTCTAGAAGACTGTCCATAGCGAAATTTTTCTCGAAATCGTTGCACACAAAAAATGCAAATGAAGATTGAAAAACTGGGGCCTTGACGTACTAAATGAAGTAATCGTTATCCCAGGATAGACATACGTTTTGCCAGTTGACTTTGTCATTCTTGTCACCTAGATTGCTGCGTTGCCAGTTCTGCTATTTTGCTAGAATGAAAAAAAGAAGATTTCAATAAAATATTGAGGATACCAATGAAGATATATAAAATTTCAGGCGAAGCAATGTTTGCCAAAAAACTATGCGGCGGAACGTTAATGTATCTGAACACATTTATAAATGCCCAGTTTTATATGATAAAATACTTTTGGAACACAATTGGAAAACAACTTTTTGTATTATATAAATGTATTTATTAAGTATTTGATCTAAAATTAGATGATCATTAATAGGAGAAGTACGATTTTCATTACCTCTACTATTTAGTAGGGGAATCTGGTTTTTTAGTGACTGCATTCGCACTTAGGCGAGGAAAACCCTAGAAAACCTCAACCGTCACTACTAAGATTAATTGTATCAGATGAAGAAAAATCAAGTCGTTCCACAATTCTGGTTTCATTTGTACAACCACAGTTATTAACCTGAAAAAAGTAGCATTGAAGTAGCGCTTTATACGAGGGTTATTTTTTGAGTAAGAACCGTTTTGTAATCCAATCAGAGAAATTTTATTTATGAATGTAAGTTGTATCACAAACTAAAATATAAATATTTTTTCATTTTTCAACATAGCCACCATAAACATTCAAACACAAGTCAAGCCGTGGTACCAGTGTTTGTGATAATGTAGCATCTGAAACTTATTCTGCGGTTTTCATGACGACTATTTCTCTCGTCTTAATTTCTACCAATCACAAACGCGAAATTTTGAATTACAAATGGTTTCTAGATGGAATAATTGTATGACAGTACCTGTCATGCATTTTTTTACAGTTTACCTGCGGCAAAACTCTACAGCTGTTGTCACCAAAAATTACAATACCTTTGATAACTAGTAATTACTAGAAAACGCCGCTAAGCTAAATTTTGTAATATTGTTTTTAAACAGTGATAGTCAGCTTATGAGTCGCTTTGGAAGTGATTCTTTGACTAATACTGATCTGGCGATTGAGAAATACCTCAGTATATGACTAATATCTCAGTGTATGCAATGTGCGCAATTTATTTAAAAAAAACAGGATGTCAACCCTAACATACAACTAGATATCCTGTTTTCCTCAGAAACAGTGCTTCAAGCATTGGTATAGAGAATAATAATGATAAAATAATTCTAAATTCTTTAGTTAATATTTTACAATATAAATTATTTGTCGCGAATATAATGTTTCAGATCTTTTTCAAAACGTGTTATTTTTTATTCGTTCTGGCAACTTATTGTATGTCTTAGATGCTTGTGATATCTGGTTATTCAGGCCTATATTAGTATTAACATTAGACTGGTAGATACACATATGTGTTCTAGTACTATAATCATGTATATCATTGCTAAAAAGTATTTCTGTATTACACTTTTGCGCTTTATTTGTCACTTTATACATATATTTACATTGTTCTAACTCAAGTAGCTGATCCATATTAAGGATGTTTAGTTTTTTATACAGGATAGGTGTGTGTGTAAACCAGTCCAGATTATATAAAATTTTGACTTATTTTGAACCCTTTGCACCCTACTAAAATTAACCTTTCCACACACTCCCAAAAGTAAATAGATTATAACTGTAATATAGGAAAATGCTAGCAAGCAACTTGAGGTTATTCTAAATCCAATATGGCGGCTACTGCAAAATGGCGATTTACATATTTAATCGACATCTCTACAACATGGGTATCAAATGAAAGGGCTTGATGACAGAAACACAATAGAGATTTTTTCGCGAGATCCAGTAGTGAACCGGAGCGGGAACAGATGGAATTTTCCCTTCCTCTCGAAGTTTTGACAGTTGACAAGTTACACCGGGAGTGGTTAGATGGCGCATGTTGCGCAAAATGTTTGCTTTGAGCTGCTTGATAAACTTAGGTGCCTTGTTTGAATCTGAAATAAAAAGACCCAATAAAATCAACCATTTGATATGACAAGTGCGGTTCGTATATCTTCGATGACCTTCTCCGTTGTCATGTAAAATCAGGTGGACGTGTTCCTCCATTTATGATTTAATAATGTAACTAAATTTTCAGCACTGCGAAGACAAATTTTCAATTGAGATGCCTGTTTTTTGAATCACGTTGACATAAGACCTGTCACCCGCTAGTACCTCACAGACGTTAGGCGGGTACCCGTACCACGTGATTTTTTGACATTCGGACGACGTCACATCCGTCCTCCCCTATTCCCGTTCTTCGCGAAAATTTGAGTATCGGTGCCCGGTAGTGCACTGTGCTACACCGTGGACTCGCGAAAATCCTTAATAAGTAAAGTTACGCCATTCTAAATCCAATATGGCGGCCGCCACAGCAAAATGAAAATGGCGATTTTCATTATTCATAGTCGCCCATACGATATGGTTTCCATTGCTTTCAATCGTTTAAAAGGTATTATAAATCAAATTCAAGCGAATAACCAAATTAAAGCGGTATTTACCATTTTGGATTGGTATTTACCGATCCGTTCAAGCGAGTGTGGTTATCAGTTTGGTTATAAGATCCGTGACGTCATGAATCGGCTGTTATATGCCATAGTTATCACCGTAAAATTGTGGTATTTATTCAACTCAGGAGTAGTTTTATATTTCTGGTTATTATTTGAAATGCGACAAGTTAGAATTTTGCCGGGTATTGGATATTTTTATTGTTCTTCAGGTTCATTTTTGGCATACAGGCTGACTTCAGTTTTAGTGTAAAGTAGAGCACCTTATTAATTATAATCATTACTGTTGTTGGGGATATTTTAAATCTAGTTCCTATGCTTAACAAAGTATCCTGTGTAGCCATATACCACAAGAACATTAAAATATGGCCATATAAACTCAATGGATGATGTCCACCTGTATGCGGTTCTGCGAATATCTTTTTTCATCGCTTTTTCCTACCATTGCTGCTAAATCAATAAATGTTTTCTTTGACATGCGGAAAAGTTTAGATAGTTGAAAGTTATCATAGCTAGAAAGCCATGGCTCCATCATTAAAATTTTTTTCTGAAAAAAAAGATTTTTCCCATTAATATTATGAAAGGTTTCTTTTTTAAACTTTCCATACACCGTTGTAGACGAAAAAGCACCGATTATTAAATGATAATAAAAATAATCAGAAATTATATACGAGCTTTTCTAAAATAAACAACTTGCAACAAAACCGCGGTTAAAACCAACGCGTTGAAGCGATTCGAGTAACTGACGTCATCAACCCGTGTGTCATCTTGAAGCATACTATAACCGCCATACATAACTCAGAAATTTTGGTTATTCGCTTGGATTTGATTATAGATACCAAACACCTTGTCAATAAAGAAATTTGCATTAAAATGTGCCGTTCCATCCTATACGTACCGCGCCGTTGCTATACTGAACAAATATAAGGAAATTTACGAAATTAAGCATACTATATTTTTCTCTCCTTTGAGTCGTGCATACTAATGCATTTTAATTATAAAATCGAATAGGTATTATGTGGAAAAATTTATAAATGTTTCTCATTTATTGAATACAATTCATTAACACCAAAAGTAATGAAGTAATGAAATGAGACCTCTCCAGTAGGCATGTCCGCCTAATGCCAAGTTTTGCAGCTTGGCCAATTTCTGCTGCTTCAGCCGGTTGTGACCGAAACCTGACCCCACCACATCACCGTGGTCTGAGTTACCGAGGGAAGACAGGACAGCAGTACTGTAAGGGACAGGAAGCGAGGTCAGAAAGAGATCCATCAAACTAATGGCGTGTGACAAAACGCAGGGGACAAAAGTAGGGCCAGCTGGGTCAGTCCTTGGGTAACAGCAAACGATTCAACAGCACAACCTGCTGCATCGGTTTTGTTTGAGCCCAACCAGAGCTCATTATGGGCATTGAAATCAAACAATCCTAAACATCAATCACCCTCTGACGCAGGACGATTGATGTTCAGGAAGTCGATCTCGGCATCAAGGAATTCAAGTAGGTCATCTCAGTTATGGTCCGGTGGAGAGCAATAAAGGTAGCTAATAAAATTGGAGGATGCTTTGATCTTCAGGCTAAGCGACACGATGTTCTTCCGGCCTGATTCCAAAGAAACGTCTCTGGAGCAGGAAATATTGCTGTGGACAAAAGCCACAACTCCCCCGTTAGTCCTCAGAGTGGAGTGGAGGGCACCTCGCAATTTGGAAAGCTAAAATCGTTAGTCGGGCAGAATCGGAGATTTTGGTCCCCGCTAAGAAAATCATGGAGGGGCGATTAGATTGCAGATAGTGGTGACCAGCATCCATGTTGCTGTTAATCCCGCAGATGCTTGTGAACCACATTTTATCATCGATGTTGTTCCTCGAATCCACACTTCACCCGGAATTCCGAGAATGGAGTGAGTTTTTACGTCTAGAATCCTTAGTACTCGAGGGATCGATCAAGACACCCTGGAAAAAGCTGGCGCGTGGTACCGCCTCGGACAACTGGTCTATGTCACCTTCTTTTTGTTTTTTAATGATGTCGAATAGACCTAAAATGACCTGTTGATCATTAAAGCTGAAGGAATATGCTTAGCTGAAGGTGTGAAACACATGACTATCTGGCAATTTCGAAGCCTGAATAGAAAATTCTGTTTTTTTAAGTAACTATTAGGGTTCAGAAATACTCGGCATTGCGAAACTTTCTAAGTGCCATTTGCTTAGTTGTGTTGAGAGTCGAATTTGAAACATCCGGTATAGTCAAGCGGCTTTTACTCTGCACAAAATATAAACAACGGCTCTGTCGCGCAACACGCGCTCTTATTTGATTCCTGATTGTCGAAAACGATCCATTCAACAACTTCCAGATTTCTCTGATTTAAAGATTAGGATATTCCACTCAAACAAAAACTAACCCTGACTCGGAACGCCCATGACAATCTGAATAAATTACGAGTACCGCGCCAGTAGCACAGCAGGTCAGTACCGTCATTACCAATCTACGAATAGGCCAGCTGTTCACTGACCAATAGGCGGAGGCCCTGCAGAGAGAGTGGTAACGCACACTGACATTGAGTAGTGTAGTGGTATTGTGTATGTGTGTGTAATGCAGAGGAAAGATTATAAAAAAGTGGTTGGTGGTTTTCTTCATAATCGCTATAAGCCAAAAGCGAGGAAAAGGGCGTATAATCAAATTGTTTACGATGATAAAAGAGCTAACTTCTTTTGTACAGTGTAAATACAATAAGTGATTCCCGGATTGCATGTGATTTTAGTGATTTGATTTATCCATGTATATTAGTAATTTCTCAAGATGGAAAGAGTTTTGAATCGAAAAAATCACAGATATGGGGCTTTCATTAAATATAGTTTATTTGGAATAAATGCACTAAGCTTGGTAAGTAATTTTCCAGTTTCATGATGTATACGGAGGTAATCCCTAAAGTATGGTCCCTTAGCAACCAGTTTCTAGAAATTGTTCCGGGCATTCGCTTGAAGCTAGCTGCCAATTTTCAGCATCCAGTTTTTTTTTTACCGATTTTACTTGCTTTTTAATGATTACATACATAGTTCACCCTTAGCCCCTTTTTAAAGACGCTCAGCATGTTGCAAAATAAAATTGAAGAAAGCACATCGCTTATAGCAGGGGTAGAAAACAGATCCATAAGAGTTACAGGCTAAAAATGAATGAATAGTGTTCTTTTATTACTAGCCATAAGGTCACATATGTCTCATCTTCTTCAGACCTGTCTATTATAGAGGATAGTTGCGATACTTTCGTTCATTTGTCCAGAGACAAGAAACCAAGCTTAGACCATGGTGATGAGTAGCCAAGAAGCACAAAACAGCTGTCCATGGTCAGAAGGACGAAAGCATCATGTTAATTAAGTTTAAGATACATTGTATATTGGTAAAATTCATTTTTTATATTTTTAGATAAAATTCCATAACCGTCAATGTACTTAAGACATTTGGTTTTGATTTTTTTTAATTGAATCAATTGTACTTGAATATTTTTCTACCAAATTGTGAGCCATTGAAATCTGATAATAGATCAAATTAATAATTTTCTTCTGATTGGAATGAGAATCTAATACTTGAAGGACTTTGCCATATCATTCACCATCTTTTGAGTCAAGTGTGTCAAATAAACCATTTACTTACTAATTGATCCACCTACACTGATCAAACATCTCTGATGATGTCTCTGATATATATTGTTGTTTCTAAATAGAAGGTTGTGAAATTTACCTTTTACTTACCATATCATCGGGTATAATTGATGATATTGATCAATTAATCAATTCATACTTTGATAAATATAGTCATTTTGCTTTAAGGGCGAGTTCAAATTGAAGATTATATCTTCTAATTCATTACATTTGATCTAAATGTGCAACGTTTACCTGAATATTATGCAAAAATATGTGTTTCAAATTAACTATTTTTGCAATTTCGAGCTTAAAAGGTAATATACCAGAATTATCAGATATTTTGGTAAGTTTAATTTCCTGCGTTGGTATCGTCGGAAGGTCCATTAGAGTTGTCCAAGTTTACATTGTCTACCTGGAACAAACGTTTCGTATCGGATAAAAAATCCAAATTAGGGATGTTGGTCTCAGTGATCCAGTTGATTGAACAACTTTTGATACAGATTAAACTTCATAATACTTCATTTGCATTTGGTACACTTTATTGGCCGTCACACTTAAGTATTAGGTACTAATTTTCCTACGAGAAGCAGCTAACGGTGAAATGACAATAATGCAGAAGTGAACGCCGTGTTTAGACATGCGTTACAAAGAATGGTTGGACGCCGAGTTGTTCTTTATAGGTACTTACTCGTATAATGACGCCGAGTGACATGCTTTCGATTTTAAATTTACATACTGTTTTATACACGGGACGCTAGCTTAAATATTGGAAGATTGGAGTTGTTATGGGGTGAACTGTTATAAATGTTGCATGTTTGGTATTATTAGGCTCTGTTGTTAAGCAGCTGCTACGCACTTGTCCGACATAATAATAAAATATATGTTTCATACATCGGACATTGAAACAGAAATATGATAGTTATACATATATTTATATATATAGTCAACGCCAAACAAAGTGGCGTGCACGTCATCAAGGTGGGTGTGTTGAAAAATTTACATTGTTGCCAAACTTTTTGTAAAATAATAAAATTTATTATTTACATATCTAGGTTTATAAGCAATATTAACCTCAAATGAGAACAAAAATAATAGTATAATAAAATTATAGATCTGTACTTGCATAATCATTAAGTATGACAATTATCGATCAGATGACACTATGAAACTACCATATTTAATTGATAGCTTAAAGGTACTGAATAAAAATCCAAATGGGGTCCTCCAAATTTTATGCATGGTATTTATTTTACAGAATTCATACAGAAAAATGCATTCTAAAATTAGGTAAGCTACTGGTGTAAGCTTTTTCTGTACAATAAAGTTAGTCGGAGTTTCTTTCTTCAGCGCTGTCTGAATCTGAATCTTCATCACTCTCAAAGTTGATTATTAAAGGTTCGATGTCTGGTCGATCAAAAATTCGTTCTCTTTCATACCATTTAAAAATTTCTTGCTCAGTATGTCGAACACTATTTTTCCACATGTCTGGGGTAACCGTTTGTAGAGCCTCGTTCCACATATCCAAACAGTCTTTTTCACTGTTACCATCTCTACCAATATGTCTTTTATAGTAACCTTTTGCTATGCCCCAAGTTAACTCAATAGGGTTAAATATACAATGGTAAGGAGGCAGACGAAGAACTTTGTGCCCATGTTGTTCCGCCAATTCATCAATCACGTATATTTTAGGTGGTTTGTTTCTAAAAAAGCAGTTATTTTAAGAATAGGAATAAACAAAAGAAATATAAACTGTCGACCAAAATATATATAATTAAGAAGCATTATGTATCGAGCAACAATACTCAATAGCTCTGTTTTAAACATTGTGTTTAAAAATGGTATGTTTTGATTTGTCAACCAGTCTTGGATATTTTTTTTTGTCCATGCATTGTTGGGCACTTTGTTCAATATCATGCTGTGATAAGGGGCGTTATCCAGTATAATCATAGATGGACTCTCCAATTTTTCTAATAACTGATGTTGAAACCATTTCAAAAAATTGTCCTGGTTCATCTCTCCATGGTAATCGCTCAATTTTGTTTTCGAAGAAAATATCGCTTCACTACCCTCAATAAACCCATTTTCATTTCCAGCATGTAATATAATGTATCTAAAATATATTAGTTTTAAATTTTATAATGCAAATTGTGTAAAAGTACATACCTTTTACCATCTGTTTTAATAGCTTTCACGCTTTTTTGGTTTCCACTTTGCCAAGAGCGACCTATGGTCCCATTTTGAAATATCCAAGTTTCATCGAGGAAGACAAACTGGTATAAGGCCTCAACCTTGGCTTGATTGTATTGCCTTAGAAATTCCACCCTTTTCAAAGCTATACTTGGTAGTTCCATGAGCCCTCGTCGCGGATTGTCCTTAAGCCACTTAAATCCAAGATCTCTAAGCAACCGCCTTAAAGACGTGGCACTACCATCAAATAATGCCCTATCTCTTAATCGAGACCATAAAGTTTGTATCGTAACTTGTTCTTCTGAAACCATGTGTAATATGACATTATAATTTAGTTAACAAATTAATGCAAATTTCTGATAAGTTATTATAATAAGATCTTACTTTTGTGATACATATTATAGATCACTTCTCGAATGGCACTTGTATCCAATGTCGCTGTGTTGGTTACACGTTTAATATAACTCCGCTTTTTCTTGGGCGATTCTAAATTTGCATCACTTTTCACACCCTCGGAAATACGACTAACTGTCCTTAAACTAATTTTTAAAGCAGCAGCAACACGCTACAAAAAATGAAATAAAATTTCACTATTATTAATATACATTACATATAATTATTAGTAACCTACCTCTTGAACAGCATTTAAAGGCAACAAAGGCCCGTTGTTGTCCCTTTCTTGCTCAAAGTAGTGCATTAACGAGGCCACGAGTTCCTTACACCGACTATTTAACTGTTTGGGCATCTTTATATACCAAAATTGCCTTTATCTACTCGTAAAATGAATAATTTTGTTTTGAAACAAACAGTTGTTGATTTACAGTATGCGGGGCCAAAGGATTTATAAAGATTTGAAATGCCACAAATTGATTCAGTGTCAAAATTAATACAAACGTCAGTTCCCAGTTTAAATAAGTTTCAAGGTGACAATGTGTCAACGCTGCGAAATCGGTTTAGTGCGTTTACATGTCGATAAGTGATTGGAGCGTTTGCAAAACATTTTATTTCGCATAATGCGTCTAAATTTATCAGAAAGCAACTTATGTGATATTTTAATAACAATGTTTATATGACTATTAACCATAATAAGAGAGTAATGACCATTTTACAATTTATATATCACATTAATATGAAACTGCAATAGAGCAATTGTTTGTGATAGAAACCTAGGCATTAGGTCGGGGAATTTTTATCGTGATGACGTGCACGCCACTTTGTTTGGCGTTGACTATATATATATAGTTTAAGGTGTACGAAAGCGGGGGAAGTGTAGATTAAATATACTCGAGTAATTTTTAGTGCAGGTCCAATATTGACTCATTCTCAAATCGGAGACAGCTAAAGTTCTTGGGAGATTATTCTTCCAATGATAATTTTCAACTATGACTTATAAAAGTGTGAAGTAAATCATGTTTAGCGTTACAAAGTTAATGTTACACGCCTTTAAAAGATGCTTAAGTTATTTTTCAAATATTTTTTTTAAATCAATGCGAATCATCATCGCTTTTACCTACTATTATTACTACTAGATTATTTACCATAAGTAATCCCTCTCCACAGTTAAAATATTCAAGAGCATTCTGATTTTAAATGGTTAGAGACTAATTACTACTACCTCAGTTGAATGTTCAAAATTTAATCAGCATCTTTATATATTACTTTCTTCATTAGCAGGCTAAACATTAGAAAAGTTATTTCTTCAACATACTTGAAGTTTCTATCTTATGTTTTACACTGCATTTCTATATTTCAGATAAGTGGTTTCATTGTATTGGTTTTGGGAGTATGGACAATTGCTTCTCGACTTTACTTCAATGTTCTGCTTGGTACAAACCTGTACGCAGGAGCTGCTCTTATACTGACAATTACTGCAGTTTTTGTTATTGTGATAACATTTTTAGGATGTCTAGGTGTAATCAAGGAAGTTAGATGCATGCTTGTGATTGTAAGTCTACAATTTGTTTGTTAAGTATACTATCTTTCTTGTTGACAAGATGCTGTTTTTTCTTAAGAACTTTGGTTAATACCTATGATAAAAGTGCAGGTCTACCACTTCAGAACAGTATAAAATTATTGTAAAATAGAATCCATATTCGACAGCTAGATGACATATTTCATACACCATAGCCCTGAAAACTTGGATAAATGTTCTCGGGAGACAGGTCGTGTCGTACCTATGGCCGCGGTTGCTGCTGGCGTCGTGCGTCGACCGTGAGGTGTGTTCGGGTATGGAATGGCACGCAACAGCATATGTTCAAACCGTCGGCCCGAGTTAGGTATCGGGGCGAGGCGACGTTTCCTGATGTACTTGCGGTGGGGCAGAGAAAGAATGTATATGGACTAAGAGTATGAACCTGTTTGACTAACTTTTTTCTCAGAGGGCCTAGTTTGTGCTGAGCATATTCCTTTATGTACTGATAAGGGCGTTTGCGTGGGAAGTGCAGAGTCAACCTACTCGACGCCATTTTTTTCCATTAAATGACCTTATCATTGCTCATATTTAATTAATAGAGAATTATTGAAGAGCTTGTTCGGCCACGCAATATTTTTGGCAATGGACGTGGGAAAGTAAAATTTGGAAAATTGCATATCTTACAACTTTTCATCTATACGGTCGCTGTGAAAAGATATGATTTTTACACTTTTATAAGATACATTTTTGTCATATAAAGCCTATTATATTTTTATTTTTCAGTATTTCACAGTGGTATTCATACTATTTGTGACCATGATTGTGGGCAGTATTTTGGCTTTCGTTTTTCGAAGTAAAGTAATCACTACCATTAGATTAGGAATGGAAAGCTCTCTCAGAGATTATGGTAATATTAAATACATCACAGAAGCTTGGGATGAAACGCAGACCAGGTAGTATGTTATGCACTGAGGCAAATGAATGAAAATCAAGCAAGATATTGAATTAAACCTGAATTCATAGCTCTTGCTTCGATCAATTGCTTAATCTAAATTCTGTCATATCGTAATAGTCCACCCAATCTAACTTTTGACGATGAACAACTTAGGGATAGAACAAAATCCCTGGGGATCATTGAAAACGGGTCTTCAAAAAACTCATCAAAAACCGTTGATATTTGACTTACCTCCTGTTGGTGAGAATATAACCACTAAATAGGTAGAAAACGGTTTTTTGATGATGATAAAAATTATACTCTGTTTTGTAGTAGGTATTGGCCACCCAATTAATAGTTCAAACAATACGGCACTTCATAGTGGAAAAACTTCCATTGAGAAAGTTGTAGAGCCTAATGTAAAGTTTTACATGCAATATCTTTTGTATATAACGGGTACCTCAGGAAAGTGCTAGAGATTAAAGTAGTATTTTTCCGAATGGAACGACCTCCCATATATTTAGTAAAATATATCTATAGTTCTTATCTTCATTAGTTTGGCCAAACACATGAATTTTATGTGTCACTTATTCATGTATATCAGAGTTGAAACCACTTTGCGTGTGTCATCTATTCATGCGTATCAGAGTTCAAACCATGGAGTCTATGGTTTAGGGCCGTATACTTATGATTAAATGGCATATGTATTTTAAGTTTTTGGATGAAAATATGCATAGTGCATTTTAAAAAATACAACTTCATCTTACAGCAACTTTCTGAGATATAAAATAGACGTTGTACTAAAAAACTTTATATTAGACGGTAACTTTTGTGTAAAAGGTTTACATCGTTCAAAATGTTACGAGGGTTGGCAATTTTTAACATATTGAAAATTTACTAAACGCTCGACTTCAAACGGTTGAACAGATTTTCCCGTGTCAAAGTTCTTTGACAAAGATCTTTTATAAATTACTTTTACAAAAGTTATACATAAAAGAAATATTATGATTGCCAAACAGCCTATTACACTACGTAAAAGATTTTAAAAACTGTTTTAAGAAGGTAGTGCAGATTCAGCTATGGACGACGACGTACAGGTTGCTACCATAGCTAATTTTATTTCGGCAGCCATTGTAGTGGCTTTAACAACGAAAAAGAAGCGACTGTGGGTAAAACAGTGGATCGTCCGCCGTGAGTTGAAGAGAATCTACAATAACTTGGTCCAAGCACGGGCAGTGGAAGATCAGAGAAGTTATGTTAACTCTTCGAGAATGGATGAGGATGTCAGATTCACGAAACCCACCGGAGAGAGTGACACCAGCCTCCAGTATGCTACACACCATGTTTTCTCCCATCTTGACACAACTACGCAAAATTTTTTATCAAATATAGGATGAAGAGGCTAAATATGAAAAAAAAGTTTCCTTTTATAAAGTTGACCTATTATATTGTCACATTTCTGTTCCAACTTCTTTTATCAAATATCTTTGTCAAAGGACTTTTATAGTGTAATGCCAGCCTTGGAAATAAAAAAATCATAATCACATTATCACTTTAGGCCAGGAGTCGGCAAAGCGCGGCCCGCCGACTTTCTGCTTACGGCTCGCGACTTCATTGTTTCTGAGTGTTATATGCCGAAATACACTTAATAAATAGATCATTGATTATCATAATTACGTAACTAAATAAATAAAAAAGTGTTGTATAATGTAACTGTTTATTTTTCGTTATTGTTCCTAATTTTTTACACATAAGGCAATATAATTAATTTTAAATTCCTTATTGGTGGCCCTCTTTTTCTTTAGTTTGCCACCTTGTGGTCCTTGGTTCTCAAAGGTTGCCGACACCTGGTTCAGATGATACGTTGCCTCAAAAAAACATAGACATACTATATACGATGTTTCCGAAACATAGGGCAAACATGTATGGAGTATTTCTTTGGAACATTCTAAGACTAATCTGTCCGATGACGATTTTTGAAATTCCGCTTCGTGTCTATGTCCCCTGAAGGACGGCACTGGAAATAGGGGCGCAATTCTCCGGTTCAAAGAGCGGAGAAAACACTGTCATCCTGGAGTGGAATGCCTGAACTTCTGTAAATAGATCAGCAGTTAGGAAGCCAAGACAAACGTGATTAGCACCTGGACTAAGAGTGCCTTCCTTAATCGCTACCCTGCTCCTATACGCCGGCTTAAATACCGGGCACTACGCCAGGCTTAACCTAGAGGATGTATACTGGGGATCTAATGGATGCTAGTCCCAGAGCCGCATTCAACCGCCAGTCCGGTTTTAGAGTCGCGACCCAATAGCTATCCGGTTTCCGAGGCCTTCGAGCAAAGCCAACAAGACAACGGACATTACTAGTAATGCTAGGCTCAATCAAACATACCCTACGCGTTGACATGTGCTCCGGATTAAAGCCATGTCCAATCTAGACGACCGAACCCAATACCTGAGAGTTGAAAATGTCTCTCGTTGGCCGTATGTGAGCAAAGGACTGTGTAAACGGACGGGGCTTCAATCCTTGCTCACTAACCTACGAATACTCAACACTAGGCTAGACAAGATTATCCAAGCTAAAGGAAGGAGTATCAAAACCTGGTGGAATCAGTTTATCATAAATTATCCCTTTATTTTATTACAATAAAACAAAGAAAGTTAAAAATAAATGTCACCACTTCAGTGTTTGGAAGCAACAACAAAACGTAGTTCAATATGCAACAATAAAAGGGTAAATTCTAATTCTCAATTCAATACGCATCATCATGTCCCAAAATAATTTCAGACTATCGTACACCCCTTGCCACTTTAAAATATACGGCACGGCACTTGAGTGTTGAGAACCTACTTTGCTAGCTCGAAACCGACTAGAACTGCACTTCGCCACGTACTTCTTCTTGCTGTGATTGCCATGATTTTCGGACAATCACGATGGCTCACCTTCAGCCCTGTCCAACGAGTACGCATAACCCTAGGTCACTCGCAAAACCAGCGGAAAATCCCATCTGGTTATCTAACCCTATTTAAGCCGTATCAAGGGCGCCAAAAGCCTTATTAATACCGTACATTTAGGGCAAAATTCCGCGTAGGTAATGAATCTAATGAATACAGTCGATTTCTTGTAAAATATCTCTCAAACCAGAGAGAAATTATATGATTTGTGTAAGATGGGCCCCTAATTCCCATATTAAATCAAGAAATATTCCATATATCACCTGGTTTAGCTCCAAAACCTTACTCCTTCAAATGTGCCGGACACAAATTTAGCAACCTCCACCAATCAAAAAGCAGCATTTGCGATAATGCGCAAATTCGGCCAATCAAATAGAAGCGTTTGTGCAGTGCTCGAAACGCAATAGAATGATATGACACCATTACTGAGCATTTTACTGAAAATAACAGTGTTACCCGAGACCGATAAATCAAAAAAGGATACATTCTTAACATTCCATCAAAATGTCTATTGAGGTTAGCTACAAAAACTTCTGTTTAATAATCTACTGTTCAAAACTATTGACTTTCTAAATATTTTTTTTTACAAAAATACAGGATAATACTATTTTCATCCACGTTCATATTAAGCCTCAGCAACTTGTAAAACATGCAAAATTTATCATAATATACCAACTGTTCAAAAAATACGTTTCATTATTCATAGAAATATTTGGAACATTGCTCGTATTTCTTTAGTGTTCTAGCTCGAAAAGAAAGCCGTTCGGACCTAAGTTCATATCAACATTTAGTCTTCAAATTGACTAAGGATTCGATGGTTAAAGTTTGTCTACATACTTCATTAATACCCTGTATAAAGTATTAAGAAGGTAACATGGGGATTAGAGTCTTACAAAAACTGTATAATTTTTAATCTAGTGAGAGACATTTTAAAAAAAATTCCCGATTAATTTATGTTTTCACTACGTAGATCCAAAATCCTACTTCATTTATAATATAAAAATGTACTATCCAAGACCCAGTACGCAAATAGCATCAAACAAATGTATGATTTCTGGGCAATTTTATGAGTGCATGCCTTATAAAAAATGCAAAATGTTTTTTAAAATTAAAGAAAAATAAATGGTTCATATTCCCAATCAGCTAACATGACTAATTTCTTGAATTGGAAAAACATCATACATAGTAACTAGTTGACGCGGCACATCACGGAGTCCATAAAAAACAATTACCTCATTTAGTTTGTCAGGGACAAATCTAGTGCAATACTGTTATTGTACAATAATGGCTTAAAACCAACATTTTTGAAAAGTATGATCCTTTATATTGAAAAATCTATTATCATTTGATATCATTAAAATTTGTTATGGCCGAGGATATTCCACCTCCAGTCCTTGTGGAGGGTTGTCAGACATTGTGTTGTCCTCTCCTTTGATACCCTGGCTGCTGAAGAGCTAAGTGGACAGGTAGGTCTGTGATTGGTTGTTCATGTTGCAAATTTGCTACCATATTACGGCAGGGATCCTTTCCGAGCGTTTCCCAAAGTTGTTAAGCTCAACTCCCTACAGAACCAATTTACTACGTTGTCAAAAACTTCTTTGGATTTACAGTATTGTTGTTATTCAAGGAAAACCGATTTCCCGTGGAAGCATTTAAGGGAGTGTGTTTTCAAAACAAAGCGGTATACCGAAAATCGTCAGAAGACAAAATACGACTAGTCTTAGAGCAACGAATGTTTGCCTGATATTTTGGAAACCTCCAGGTAGGCTTAATGATAATATGCTTGATTCGGATGCATCGATTCAAGTAGCCTTGTAATTCCATCATTTTCAAATATTTGTAATATTATTAACAAACAAAACTGACGGTTCAAAACACGCTCAACATAGATTTTTTTGAACTATTTTACTCACTATACCAATGTTAATTATTTACAGACTTAAATGCTGTGGTGTATATGGTTATCGCGACTGGCAAAGTAAAATTCCCGAGTCATGCTGCAAACTAACATCTCTGGGGCAGAGGTTACAGTGTCAAGCCTTAGGAGAAAATAACAATCACTTCACCATTTTCACTGAAGGTTGCTTAGAGGTGACCAAAGAATTTGTTAGGGATCAAGCCATTGTCATTGGATCATCTGGCATAGTGGTTTCAATAATCATGGTGAGTATATGCCAACGACAAGTTGTTGCGCTGCAAAACAAACTCGTGTTAAACGCGCGACTGAGAAAAATCGCTTTCCTAAAAGGAGGTTTTTCTATTTTCAATATAAACCGATTTGTCCAAAATCGATTTTAGTGGAAAATTCGATTTTTACTACTACTCGAAAAACTGCATGCTTACAGAGTGAAAAGAGAAAACTGTTTATGGATTGATGTATATCGTATCTAAGGGCACGTTTCTATTCGTCATTGTCTGTCAGAGCGGTCCGTAGGACTTTTGCTCTTGGTTAAAGTCTTGTAGGTCTCTCAGGTCTGGTTGCCCAGATACCAAACAAAGTCAGAAAGAATGCAGGGAAGAAGAAAGGAAGGAAGGAGGGAGAGCAAAGAAAAAAGATGTGCCTTGGCATTGCTAATTAGTGTTCAGCAATTTTAAATTGATTCTAAAATTAATTTTGAGATTGTTGTTGAAAATGATAATTTTGGTTGGACCTAAAGTCGCACGATTCAATTTTGTCTAAGGGAACGTTTTAAAAATACTCACCATTATAAAGGGTGTCCCAAATTCTAGCCATATATCCAAGGACTTTTTAATCGAATTCGACTCAGATACATGATGCATGTACAAAGCATATTTGTTCAGAATTGTGTCGGTAGTAGATTCAACCCTCTCGGCGCCATTTTTTCATGCTGGTTAAAAGCGTCACAAACCTCGAGAGATTCATCTTCAAGAGTTATTATCAAACCTCAAAGGTGTACATTTTTGAAGCAAGGAAATAAGAAATTGACGTAGGACAGATGTCCAGAGTATGTACTATGCTGACGAGTGACTAGCTCGGCTTTAACCTTTTGACGGGTAAGTCATGGTTTGCATGTCATATATGTCAAAATGAATAGTAGATAGCCGAGCCAACCACGAGTATATACTTACTACCGTGTGTTTTCGATAGGAACCTTGAAGGGTAAGCAACATTCTGGAAGTGAAAAGCAAAACCGAGTCTACATGGACACAGCATCCCAATGTCCTGGCTCCAGTAATGCATGTGCAACAGTTGCTTAAGATTAGAAATTCGTCTCTGGCAGCTTCCTGATCTGTTGCATAGAATATCCATAAATGTTTTTTGCTTCTGGAGACGAGTAAGTATTGTCTTGTTCAAACTCATTCCGACTTTGCTTTTCGGATATCTAAATGAAAGCTATCCTCACGATATTGTCCTGGATATACATAATGTATGCTGGAACTAAACTTAGTTGATAACTGCCAGCAGTGAGACCTTTTAAATATGCGAATACAAGACTGGAAACTGGAAAGTAAATTTAGATTTGCTGTACCCCATCTAGTAATGACAAGACATGCAAGTCATGACTTACCTTCCAAAGAGGTTAAAGCTGAGCTAATGTCACTCGTTGGCAAGTTGAAAGTTATGTTTCTCTGTGGCAAAAATGTAGGCGACTGAGGCTTTATAATCCTTGAAGATGGTCTTATTCTACGAGATGTGTTCTGATTGACACTTTCGATCAGCATGAAAAAAATGGCGTCAAGAACTCTGCACGCAACGATATCATCAGTTCATAAATGATTATTTTCGGATAGTTGGCACCGTTTAGAAAAAATTTAGCTTTGAACAAGTATAACAAAAGAACTAAATGAATAGTCAGTCAAACAGACCCATACAATTAGTCCATAGCCCCCACATGTTTGACAGCATTGCGATCTAGGCTACCGACAACTCTGCTTGCATCATGCATGATCGTTCAGCTGTTGCTCGGCATTCGAAGTACTTAGACGTACGCTCATGGTTCCCCACACATACCAATCTCTATCATTCAAATTTCAAGTCCAAATATACAGAGAAATTTATAAGTATGAAATATAACTGAAGGTAGGAAGCCAAAACCAAAAAACTGAAATATACTCTCCCTCACCCCTACAACATTCAATTTTTAATCCATACTAAAATGTTTCTGAAAATAATCAGGAGCCTCTAAAACGTTTGTGTGATGTATATTTTTTTGTTCTTTGCCACTGGAACTATTTTCAAAAACTATAAAGATTTTTCGTCCTTGGCACAGTAGCAGCCTTGTGTAAAAAGTTCATTAAAATCCGAGCAGTCATAGTAATTTCTATTGAATCATAAATCCAAAAGCACTTGAGAAATTGTATGCAAGATGTGGAAATAATCAAATTGCTTTCTTTTGCAGGTGTTGGGAATGATATTGTCATGCATGTTGTTCAGACTGATAAAATGAAACTGTTGAGGGTCAATGATCTTTATTATACATATTTTTATACATGTTCTCAAGTATTATATATTAAAATAAAACTAGTATTACTCCATGTGATCTTTCTACAATTATACGCAGACATAATGGGGAAGGTGCACTGTTTATCCAAAAATCTAGTTTTGAGATCCCTACTTATGAACATTATTAAAATATTTCATAATGGTGTCTGATTTTTGTTCTACGTCCCAAAAGTTGTACTGTACAATATCATTTTATTAACGGAATGTCCCACATTTATTTACACATTCAGATATACCCTTCTAAAAGAGTGAACTTGATATACTGGGTTTTGATGATTAGTTGACCTATAAGTGATTCAATGTCCAAAAACTCTCCTCAGTCTACCAGTTCGATATTTTGGAAGACAGTGAATTTCTAGTTTAGGGATATTATTCAAACGAGCTTTGAAACGAGGTGTTTTTTAAAAATGTTCCAAGATGACGCCCAGTCGCTATCTTGAAGATTGCAACTTTCAGTCTTACGTTAAAATAGCGAGGGGACTTTTTTGGAATGCACTGTAATGAACAAGTCAAAATGTAGGGTTAAGCAACGCAGAGTTTTAAATTAATATGTGAATCCAAGATTTTACCATATGAATGAAAGCTGTAAGTGATTGTTCTGTTTCATGGAAACATGGTCTTCAAGGTTTCAAAGTAAAGAGTACCATCATTGGAGTTTTATGTAGTTTATTTTTCGACAACGCTATTGAAAATAATTGGGGATATCCCAACTAAGAATAATAAAACTGTAGTAAAGACAATCTGGATGATTTACATAATATTCCTCCGACTTCCATTATTTATAAACAGCATGTAAGACAGTTCACCTAACACATTATAGATAATACGTTACTTGCCTTAATCTTCGGATTTTGGGACATAATGCTCAATGTGTTCAATGATGTACTTTTGATCATAAAGCCGACGTTTTGACGTTTATTTGATGCCTTCTTCACAAAGTGCGAAAAGTGAATTTGAACAAATTACAAAAATGCCAAATAAAGTTATGTTTGAAACAGATCAAATAAACAAAGATTTTAAAACAGTACATACACAAACAAAAATACATACGACATGGAAACATGTAATAGAATTTTTTTTAAGAAATGAAATATCAATAAATTAAATCAAGTTAGTAATTAAAACTTGATCCAAAATTTGAGGCAATTGGAGAAGAGCAACATTACCAAATAAGTCTCTCAACAATTACATCCCGCGATTAATACAAGTGTTTCACTTACTGGGGTAAGAACTAACTTTTCTCTTATACATAATGCAAGTCTGAGGAACAACATTCCAAAAACACACTTTATCTAGCAACACTTATGTATCGTAAATTCAACATACTTCAAGATTCGCTGCCAATGTACAAAATGTTAATAAAGTTTTATTGTTGATTATCCATAAAAACCCTCGAACTAGAAAAAGTTCATTCATGTTTAATACCATGTTTCCTCAAAAACTGCAAATTCTTGAAGACAGTGCACCTTTGGCTACAGAATTGTATACGGGGTTTTAGGTTACACGTTGTACAATCCACAAGCCCCTACTGGGGCTATGACGACTTGGAGATTAAACTTATTTTATTAAAGGGGAAAGTGAGGAAAATTCTTGACGATGCACTTTTCAATCAGATACAACAAGTATTTCCGAAATATTGGGTCTCCAAGTTGGGCTGTATTGTATGTATTGTATTGGGTGCTTTTTTGTATTTGTTTACGATATACCACATGTATAGGGCGGTTAAAACATTCTTGAATGGAGTATTTTCTTCTGCACAACTGTTTAATGATTATTCAAGATTATCCTTGTACGTCTCTGTAGGAATACATTTCATAAATATTCAGGATATTATACAAGATGTTCCGCTAATGGAAAGGATGCCAAAGTTGTATTTTAATAAATGCCCATGTTTTTATTGCACATTAGGACAGATCTGTGTTTCGTCGAGTAGTTGCTGAAGTAGGTACTTTGCTTACAAACATTAAAGTTTCTATGAAAATTCAAAACTCTACCACTTTAATAGAGAGGGTGCAAAAACTGATTACATACATGCATTGTCATAATTTCGTCACTTGTCCATGGTATTTAAAGATAACTTATTAAAAAGAATATGATAACGTGAAACTTTATACAATGGCCATCAATTATGTGTTTTTGAGTATATACTCTAATTAATCGTCTTGAACAATTCAAGAAATGTATAAGGGTAAGTCAAAACTGAAACTATTAGATCTAATTACAGAAAATTCAGTACAGTTTTATCTCTATTAAAGTGGTTGAGATAAGGATTGCCTTACTTTCATGCTTTTTTAGGCGGAAAAGTAATTTTGATACACAGCTCAGAAGTGGAGTGCCCTGTATAATACTGAATATTTTTGAGATGCCATACCACAGGGATTGTGGACAATAAACCTGCATACACGTTTGGGCCACCCTGTATATGTGATATATAAATGCAATGTTGGACAACTAGGTATCTAGGGGTGACGATAAAAACGTGAAAAATATCAAACAGCTATTACAGATCCTGTACCGCTCTCGTGAAATATTGGACCAATGGATATTTTTGTTCTACGTATTGAGACCTAAAACACTAAAAAAAAAAGACAAGATCTACTTCTGATGAGGTTTTGGTGGGGACTTTTGTAAATCAATATTTGAAAATCCTGCACTACAAATGTTATATCTAAAAATGTAGTGAAATACGAAAAAAGTGTACTTGGCAATGACTGTAAAAAATAAAATATTGGTTTACGTCAATATGAAACGCCATACATGCATATCGAATGCTCGTGAAAATTAGTGGAATGTCTCTCAGATGCATAAGATACGAATTAGGCGTACATTTTAAAAATATATAACACCCAAAAGCTCATTATGTTAAATGTAACGAAGAAGCAGTGGGATAAACTGAAGAATCCAGGGTCGCAGGATTAACGCTCAGCGTTGTGGACACTGTAACAAAAACATCTCATCAGAAACATAAGCAAGGCATGTATATAATGATATAAGTGTGGCATACACCAAGTACTGCTTTTTTAAAAAAGCTAGCAAGGGGTAGTGAATGTTAGTTCATTTAAGGTATTTGCAGAGGAAGCTATATCGATCGACAAATTAGGAAGTGAAAACTTTTCTGTCTTTGATAGGTTACAACAGTCGATCCAATATTTCCTTCCTGGCTGCACTGTAGTTTTAAACGGCCTAACACGTGTTCGAAGACATTTTAAACAGAAAGGGAACTCAAGCTTCTAAATGGTCAGAAACATAAATAGGGCATTCCACTTGAAAACCAATGAGTTCTTTCATGATGAATATTGTGAAGTTTGGATGTCAATTTTAAGCAGCCTGTTTAATCGATAAATTGGAATATAGAAAAATAGAGTGGCGTGGGTGTATATGAAGTGATTTAGGCCGATATACAACCATGCACATTATTTCTGCTCGTTATAATGAGCCATTACCAAAGTGACTGCAGTTGTACAAAAATAAAATATAGTATATAAATATTTTAAAAACTAAATAACCTCATACATGTTAGAAAAAGTATATTGTAAATTATATGTAGAATCTGAAAATGAGATAAAATATATGGGGTGAAATTGACGCTCTGGAAAAATATAATCTCATTCAAACCAAGAAGCTTCCACATTCAACTTTTTTGTATAGTCACTGGTTTTTTAGATAAGGGATGGATCAAGTTATATTGGTCACCCTGTACAATATCCCATTTGGGTAAGTTTGAGTAGTAATTCTGATGTAAGATTTACATTTTGGGATTCTCTGTGTCAAACAAGGTTGTCCGCTTTTACTTATATTCATCTCACTTCCATATAAATATTCACAATGCTAAGGACTTATACACATGTATACATGTACGAAAAATGTGGCAGTTTGGTTTCACAGTCAATTAGATCACAGATACCCAGTTAATACAAAGTGCGAAGGAGTAACACAAACCTTAAACTTTATTTATTTGATTGGTGTACCAAACATAACGACTTACTTATGGCAAAACTGTGAAGAAACACGTAGACACAGCAGAGAACGGCATTGTCCCACGGAGTAGATGAATCAGGCAACTTTGTGGGATGATTAGTGATTCCTTGTTAATCAAATAAAAAACAACAAAATCACTAGTCTTCCACACAACACCACCCTTTGTATTGTTAGTAGTCAGCCATACAACTTCAATAGGTACTTCTGTTTCTTTCTCCATATAATCATCCAGATCAGTTACATATATACATGATAAAACTAATATGTACTTATAGTTGAAGATCCACACTGATTGAAAGAAACGTTACACGCAATGAAATAAATGATCATGAATTTTGTTAATAACCATATTTACATCGGACTTTGCTCAATATTGTATTCGTAACAAATCAATAAGTAAAATAAACCCTACCAAGCGGGACCGTGGCAAACACTTGTTCCGGGAGTTGCACTCAGTATGCAACTTCTCATTCAAGTGATTACACACGCGTTAAGGAATACATCGGTACCTATTGCCAGGTAGCGGTACAAGTCCGTCAAAGGGCTACTTCATTTCTATTTAATGTCACTTACAAACAAAAATAAAGTGGTAGACAAAGACCAGTCGACCGAGGCGGCACCACATGCTAGCTTTTGTCTTCAAAATGTCCGCATGTTCCGACACCTGAGCTATGCAGTCGGTTTTCTTCTTTTTCCACCTCCCCTTCGCAGCAAAAAATAATGACGGTTCCTCGGAGTACTGAAAATACCGGACGTAAACTCCGCTTTCGCAATGTTCGGGTGGAGTCGAACATTCCGAACATCAATGATAAAATATCCATCACGAGCATCTGCGGGATCAACAACAACATCGATGCTGTTCACCAATATCTGCAGTCAAATCGTCTCGCCGTGCTTTTCTTGGTGGGGACCGGAATCTCCGATTCTGACCGACTGACCATTTTAGCTTTCCGAACTACGACATGCGCGCCAATTTGTTTTTGTCCGCAGCTGTCTTTACTGAGACGTTTCTTTGGAATCAGGTCGGAAGGACGTTTTGTGACTTCAGCTCAACTCTAAACCATCCCCCAAAAATGTTTGCTGCCTATACCGCTTTCCCTCAGACCATAATTGGGATAACCTACTTGAAGACCTCGCTGTCAAGCTCGTCTTTTTGCACATCAATCATATTGCATCAGAGGTAGTTCTCCTCAGTGCTTTCAATGCCCATGATGAACTATTGTTGCACTGAAACAATATCGATGCAGCAGGTCGTGCCGTTGAAGCGTTCGTCATTACTAAAAGTATTCAGGCTAGGCTAGGCAGAAGATGCCAGTCAAGGATTTGTTTGCCTCCTTATTCGACAAAACAAAAGACAATGTTTGACAGTTCTGTCATTGAATTTGTAGTTATGGTGTTATTTTTGACAAGTGCGACTGTTTGCAGGTAATTGTTGTTAGACGTGCTACTTCTTATGTTGATACAACGCTGTCACTTTGGTAGACATTGGTAGACAAATGAGTCAAAAGTACGCACTACAACTGAGCAATTTTGGCGACAAATATTGCAATGTAAACCAGCCTTAATCTTTGTCAAATCTAGCGCTAACTTTTTAGTTACTACTGTTAGTTGCAACTTGCTGTATCATAATATTTCGACCTAACAGCACCCGTTTGAACCAACAACATTAGACCAACACTGGTAACTGGTAACATGTGAGATACAGTTGAAGCCCAATAGATTACACTTGTAGGATGGTTCACTGGCTTTCGGGTCCCTATGAATCTTTCTTCTTAGGACACCGACTGCCCTTCTTGAAATACAATAATCTGGATCCAGGCCGTTTAGATATTTCAATTACACAAACATTCAGTTAATTCTGCATTCCAGTACAAACAATTAACTATACAGGGTGTAAACATTATGGTAGTCATTATTGAGATGGGTAATAGAGGGGGTCAAAACAAGTCAAAAAGTTCATGTGACCCATGGTCCAAAAGTCAATAGATTTTTGTCTAAATGGCTTTATAGTTTACAACATTAAGTGTTTTATATCGATCACAATCTTACTAATTTTTATAATCTATTCTAAAACGTTTTTAAATTGGGTAATTAACAAATAAATGGCATTAAGTTTTTCTAAGTTAAGCCAAAATTTTTAGTCAGTAAGAAAGTAAGTTTCATTAAATTGAATATTTAAAACACACTCGACAACAGCGCGTCGGTCATCATCACTCTTATTGAACCGGCAATCGATCGCAAACGGTAACAGTGGTTAGTTATCCCACTTATCCTTTTGCATAGTTTTGCAGCGTTGTCAGATTTATTTAACTTTAAAGTCGCTTTTCTCAAAAAAAAAATGCCGTTTTGACCCCCATGTTATATGGAACTTTTTGCTTCTTTTAACCCCCTAAATAATTACTATCATAACGTTTACGCTCTGTATAAATACACTCATTTTCACATTATCATCTCAGCATTATTATGTCTGCATGACACTTACAAAATGTATCAGCAATCAAGTACATACCTCAGCTTTCGGACACAAAGTTAATAAACATCTACTTTCACAAATTCTTCACATTAAGAAATACATTAAATAAATTCGTCATTCCTCAAGACCAGATGAGAAAATGTGCTAAATTCATCGCAGATAAAGTTACTGTTGTATCTGTTATTTTTTTCGCTCATAGATTCGTACCAAAGCATCATACCTTTACTAGTTCGAACGATGACGGGCCGCTACGAGACTTTTGAATTGGCAATAACTGAACTGCTTTTTAGTAATAGCCAACAACAAGTGATAAAACCACTCAAAAGCTAATTATTTTTAAATTCATACCTTTGTTGGAGCAGATATTGCGCCATCTGTATTTGGTTAGGTGATCCACTGATGGTGATGATGCGATCGTTGGAGCCTGGTAGAGGTTCGTCGATTGTTATGTTGGCGCCTGAGTCGAGGCGAATCTTACGGATACGGGTGCCTCCTTTGCCTATTATGGCCCCAGCCATCTTAAAAAGAAAGTAGAATTTATTATAGAACCACATCAAATGTTTAAAAAAATAAGATAAGCATGTCCGATATTAAATATGTTGTGATACGTTAACGATCATAACGTAGAAATGTTGACAAGAGTCGGTATGCTGGATTTTTTTATTTCACAAGCAGGCTTTCGGCTAATGGGACAAGTTCCTAGTGCCATTAAAAATAGTAGGAAAATTTCATATTAGATTCGGAGCCATTGCTTTTGCCGAGTGAACATAAAAGAACGTGAATAGTTACTGGTTTCAGGACGACGGGACCGTACATACGGCAATGTCTTTACTAGAGCGCCGTCAAACATCCGATAGCTTATAGTATAGTAAGATAAAGGAACGAATATAAAATATTTGCTCCATAAAAGTGAGATCGCTAATATTTTCGAAGACTCGCAAAACGTATAGCTCATTAAAGACTTACTATTGTCTTTTTAACGAGTATCCATTAAGGTAGAATATATCAGCTGATTATCCAGTAATATTTCAAAATTCCCCGTATCCACAAATGACAAATCTGACGGATCCGTCAACGCCAGCTAAACAGATCCGTATTTTTTTGTGTTTGTTATACGCTATGGATCCATTTGTACTTGCTAACACCTCTTTTATTAAGAAAAGTTCCGACGCATACAAAAAAAAACGCAACAAGCAAAGTGGCTGCTGATGATCATGACTACATTTCAAGTAACCTAGGCATAAAATAGGATAAACAGTTTGGAACTTGAAACACCAAATGATTTTAAAGGGCAATTAAGCAGCCATACAATTAATTCAAGTTAGAAATAATAAAAATATAAGGGAAGTTTACAACTAACGCAGGAAATGTACTGAAATGGAACAATGCAGTGTTCATATTTACAGGCATGTTGAGAACACTGCAAAAATCCAGAGGAAACGAAAACGTTTTATGGAAGCTGATCCATAACCTTTATTTGAATTACGATAGTCTGGTGATGGTCAATTAATCAGAAACACGTGTCTATATGATTTTTACAGCTAAAATCACAGCTACTGGAAATGACAATGTAGTCTGTTCTACTGAATTACCTCGCAATCAACAAAACCCACATGTACTATAATAACACATGGTTCAGTAAGTCCCGGGACTCACCCACAAATGGCAATAGTAATGACAAGTCAACTTCACATTATCGAAAGAGCTAACCTTCATGTGACACCTGTGAAATTTTCTCGAAAATCGCACCATAAACATCAAAGATACTGCGGTGAAAGTAAGGTTACTTTCGTGTGTTGATAAAACATTGTTACTTAATGGGAAAGAATACCGTGCAAGCTCATCAATGGCTTGAAAAATGTTATCCGAACTCTGCTCCGTTGAAAACAACGATTTGCCGGTAGTATGCTGATTTTAAACGCGGTCGTACTGATACAAAGGATGCGGAACGCTCGGGTAGCCCAAATGAAGCGGTAAATTCGGAAAATGTTAAGCAGATTTTAAAAATCGCGATGAATGACCACAAACTGAAAGTTCGTTAGATTGCTGAGATAGTAGTGGAAAAATGTTGGAATGATCGCATTGCACTTGTTGGCGATTACGTTGATGAACAAAAATGGATTTTGCGACACAAATGCTGTTTTCATGGTTAGTCCCGGGACTTGTTGAACTGTGTTAATTTCCTAATTAACCTTTTTCTATGTCTACTTCATATATTTTGTCAAAACTCCAAGTAACTATAGGTACCTAGATATATGAACAGCTCTGAATACGGTCCTGAGTTCTACCAGACTTACACCCGACTCATTATTGCCAACGAGACAGACTAATACAAAGGTGTCACTTGCTGATCACATCAATAAACGTAATGAATACTCGTGAAATAGGCGTCTATGGTTCTACAACATCCAACAATGGCAATATTTCTATCGTAAATAGATCCAAAAATAAGAAGAAAATTTCATATAAATATGGGTCCTAAAATGCCAACAGTGTGTTGAAGAATAACTATTACCGCAATCGAAAAAATGTATCTTAAAATTTCATACATGGCATGTAAGTTGTAACTACTGTACAAAACAGAAAAGATATGTTTTTCTACGCCGCTGACTTTTAAAACCTATTGCATTTTTTATATGCATCGCATCTCTACAGAAATTATGACAGACGATTCCCTTTGGAGAGAAGATGAATGTTTGACGAAAAAATCCATATGAAAGGCTTCAAACCTTTCTATTATGAAATTACGATGGAGTGAAGTTTGACATTCAAAAAAGTATGAAGTGCATTAATAGGGAATACGAGGGATGTCTTTTAAGTTTTGCATATGGAAATAAAACAGCACGGTAGGTAGTTCTAAATAACTTTATTGTTTTTCGAAGTATTCTCCACGAATATTAATACACATCTGCATGCGCTCGAACCAATTTTCGAAGCACTTATTCCACTCTTTTGCTGGCAGATCCAAAACGGCATTTTTGAATGCGTCAACTGCTTCTTCTGGTGACTGGAACCTTTGACCACGCAGTCTGTTTTTAATTTTCGGGAAAGTAAAGAAATCGTTAGGACTTAGATCGGGACTATATGGAGGATGGTCCAATAATTCCACGTTTTCTTCCGTTAAATACTGCCTTGTTTTTTGGGCTGTGTGCGAGCCTGCATTGTCTTAGTGGAGGATGATTCTTTCGGGGTTGATTTTTCGACGCTCGGTGACGACTTTTGACAAACAAATGGTGGTATATCAATCTGCAGTAACAGTTTTTTGCTCATTAAGAGGAATTGTTGCAATATGACCCGCTTTTGACACAAATGTCGCGACCAACTTTTTCGAAACACTTCGAGAACGGATGAATTTTGTTGGCTTTTCTTCACCTTGGAACACCCAAACAGCCGACTGTCGTTTATTTTCTGGTTCATAACAGTAAATCCACGTTTCATCACCACTAATAATGCTGTACACATTTTTTTGAGTTTCCGGAATTGAAACGGTCAAGCGTTTATTGACACCAATTAACCCTGGCCGCTTTCTGCTCTTCAGTCAACAGGTGGGGTATCCAACGAGAAACTAATTTTGTTACTCCTAATTCTTCATGTAAAATTGTTTGAGTTGAGGTCTTTAAGATCTTCAAGGTCGCCTCAATCTCGCGATATGTCACATGTCTTCAATGATGAGTTTGCACACAGCATCGACGTTTTCCTGTGTGACTGCCGTTTTTGGTGCACCCACCCTGGGATCGTCGCTAAGACTCACCCATCCACCAACGGAAAATTGTCGACTGATGTAGCGCTTCGTTGCCGAAAACAGACAGTAACTCAGCAAGGCGTTTTTGTTGCGATAATTGTCTCTGAAAGTTGTAATAAATTATGGCCGCGAAAATGTTCTCGGTTGAGTTCCATTTTTCTAATGACTTGGTGACACTTAAAAATTCACTGTAGTGAGAACACTGCACGTATTGTTGTGAAACTTTGAATTTAAGTTTACTAAGGAGTGAGGTTAAGATTCAGTACTGACGTCCGATCCGCGCGGCCTTCTATGTTTCTATATGCAAAACTTAAAACACATCCCTCGTACCATCCCGTCAAAGTTTTATGTTCATGTGTCATTCAATCTAAACATCGAGTATCTCGATAATGGGATATTTTAGTACCGGTGTATGTTTATCGGAAAATTTTGTTAGTTTGGGTTGTATTTCCATTCTGTACAAATGGTATTAATAAAACAGGTATACGTACGTCTTTAGGAATGGTGACTTGAGTAGTGGTTTTGGATCCAACTCCAAGTGGTCCTGCACTGATGCTGGATGGAGACGGTCTACTATTAAATTGACTTCCTATAAAAAAAAGAAGCTCGTACTGAAATTGTGTATTGTTTTGGCTTTCTCTATTATTAAAGAGTTACCCGTATATCACGTTATTTTAACAGATAATGGCGGGTTTATACTTTGCATAAGCATAACCAAAGTCATAATCATAATAGGTGAATTTTCTAAACTTCAAGGTCATTGTGCATAAAAAATGCGTATTCGAACTCTTATGTTTATGTGCATGATTATGACTATTAAAATGTTGTATAAACCCCTCCATGAGTCATGACAATGTAAAGTAATGTGATAGTGCTCGCATTCAGCAAAGGGAACATATGCGATTGCACCATATACAGTTCAAACTTGAATAAAAAGATGAGCTAAGTCGAAAAATTCCTCTGCTTAAAGTGGATTTTCTAACCTAAAATGCATTTTGGTTTTGAAACTTTAAATGTATCTGTTATATGGACATAGATATCGCTTTCGCAACATATCTGTTCATATCGAGGCTAACTGAAGACAGACGGGAATTCCCCTTTGATTGATAGCACATTATATGGTATATTGCGTATCTATTATAATGCTATCTGGTATCAAGTACATCAATTACCATTAGAATTGCATTTTGAATACAAAGTGAAAACTGCGAGATTTTCATAGACATAAAACCAACCAACCAACCAACACCTTTGCAGTTAGTTACTGACGTAATTTCTCTAAAAAGTAACTACTGTTGTCACATGTAACTTCAACTTAGATAAATGTTCGGCAAATCGGAGTGAAACACAATTTCAAGTCGACCTTAACATACGGATCACCTTTGTTAACTGATAGATATGAGAGAGGGGGTGCAACCGAACATTGCCTTTTTATATGGAGTTAGAAAATAAAACAAGTAGGAAGACAAAAAGTTTACATACCTCCGAAACTACCGTTGCGCTCATATCCGCCCTTCGGAGCGTCTCTACCTAATCTGCCGCCGCCGCCAGCAGGCATTCTGCCTAAACTACCGCCACCTCCGAAAGCATCGTCGCGGCCGAAGCCCCTACCGCCAAGCCCACCGCTGAAAAGAGAGAAATGCAATTACCTTGGTTGTATCATTACCCCACATGCTGATGTTCAAAATCACAATGGCCTTATGCACTGCCGTTACATGGCTTGTTCGTACAGTGGTCGGTAACTGTGCCTGGGATCCGACCATGTGAATTCTCTCTAAATACCGTAGCAGAATGAACGGAATTTGTGTGGCGGGATCCTGGACACGATCACTGACGGTTGGTGATAGCTGTACGAACAGGGCTATAGTCGAAGATAGGAGATGGGTGAAATTTTCAATTCCTGTGCTCAAACTAGTGTTGTTAAATCAATTGACTATTAGTTCAAAATCATGCCGATTTATTGAATGTAGTACTTACTACACATAACAGTCGGCAGACTAAACTACCTTGCTAGCAAACTTTAATGAGTTTCAATATTAGTCATGGATTATTTCAAAATCTCATTTGAGTATCTAGGCATTTCCGATTTAATAGCGTTGTGAACAAAATTCTGATTATCCATGGAATATTAAAAAAACCAGTACCCAGTATAAGTGATAAGTATTCAAGAGCATATCAATGCTGCCATCTATTGATAAAACGATTAATGGCCTACACAAAAATGCATGCAAGAGTGTTGCAGATTTTAGATATCAAAATATCGGTTTGACGGTGACTCTTAGAATAATAAAAGTACTTGCACAACTTTTATGCACGCTCCACTATTTTTTATGATAAAAAATCTTTGAACAAGACTAAAGACATAACATTCACAACCCCTACCCCGTAAAACCCACAAGGTGCAAACAGTTTCCGAAAATAATCAGGAACCTCTGAAACGTCAAAAAAAGTTTGACCCTTTGAAATGTTTCGCTATTACAATACTTCCTCGCCAGTTGGCCTAAGAAGTAAAAACCAGCCATTTCGAGAAATTCAATCCATTTTCGAATTCTGCCTAGCAATATTATGACATCGAATATACAAATTAATGAAAAAACTTTTACTTAGTGCGCTTTCCAAAAATGTACTAATCAATACGAAAACGGATAATTCCTAACAAATAGCAAATCAAGCCGATTTAAGTTAAATAAAAATTGTTTAAATAAATCATAATCATCATAACTGTCAAATAAATGAAATATATTTTTGTCAATAATGTTACCTACAAATGTGTAGTACACAACTAGAGTTAGGTCACTCTCAATTCGCATGCATTTTACTTACCTACCACCTAAACCAGCATTAGCCAAAAAGGGAGCAGGTCTGGAACCAGGACTGTTTCTGAAGGCACCGGCATCGTTTCCTCTACGAAGGTTGTTGTCGAATCTAGATCCTCCAAGTCCGCGACCGCCAAGCTGCAAATGCGTACTAATCAATAGACTGATAGCATAAAAATGGAGTTATGTCTCATGTATTTCATGCAAATTGAGTTTCCAAGTTCCAAACTTAATTAACGGACGCAATTATACGTAAAAGTCAGATCCAAATGCACTAAAATGCAACAGTTAAAAGTAAAAATTGAACAAATACATTTGGTAGATAGAATTATTTGTTACATTTACAACTGTTCTCCCGCTTCTATGAGCATTTTGAAATGCGCGCATTAATTGCATGATATAATAATACTAATTATAGTGATAATCATCACGAAATTGTGATACACACTCACCCACCCTTATTTTCACCGATGTGACCGAAACATATATTAAAGGATTTTAAATATGTTACATGTGGTTTCATTGAACAGACACGGGGATTATCGACATGAAAACCACAGAATACGTTTTAGATGTTACATTATTGTTCTTACGAATATAAAGTGTTTTTCAGAAAGGTCCCCCTTACTCAATTTTTGAACGGGCCAAGTTAGGGTGCTGAAATTCGAGATGATAAAATTGAGCCAAGTGAATGAATACTATATTTTAACGTAAAAATAACAATGGAAGCTTTGAAGATGTCAGCCGGACGCCATTTTGGAGCTATTTAAATAGAATGGGGGTCTCTCCTTGTGAGAAATTTCAACCCTGGAATATAAAATCACTATTTTTAAAAATTGCGATCTGGTTATCAAAATTGAGCGTTTTTGTACATTAAGTTGCTTGTAATTGATCAACTAATAATCAAAACGTTATACTATGTTATATAAATATCCTTTTTTTGGAATATGCAATAAAACATGGGCTACTCCATTAAAAAAATATTTTTTTAAATGGAATGTTCTATATTTTATTATATATTCGGATAAACTCATCCAAGCGAACAATATTAATATGACTTACTATATCGTTTTGATGATCGGTTGTTGTGTTATCGGCGAGTCAAAGTGCAAAAACGCTCAACATTGACAGCCACTTTGGAACAGAGTGATTATATAGTCCAAGGTCATAAATGAGGTACCACATGAACCCTCATCCCTCTTAAATTTTTTCCAAAATGGCGCCCAGCCGCCATCCTGAAGTTTTTAACTGCCACTTCTACGCTGAAGTATAGTATTCATGAATCAATTTCATTATCGCATTTTTTTTGAAAAATAAAAAGACTGGAAAATCCACGATTGCAAATGCCGTAAAAATGGGTGTCCATAAAATGAAAAAATGCGTATAATACTCGAGTATGCGATGCCAAATTGCCTCCAAACGAGATTTCCCAGAGTATTCTCAGCTGAGGCCTGAACAGCAGAATCGTCAAGCACTTGCTTTTCAAATTAGAACTAAGGGCCGTATCGTCAGTCGTTCCTACAATTGTAGGACGCCTTTAGGGTCTTCATTTGATGGAAATAGATATTCGTGACATAACCTCAAAACAGAGCGCTGACACGGAACAGTAGAAAACTATTAAAATCAAGGAGGCGATAAAGGCGAGCTACATTTGTAGGAACGACTGACGATACGGCCTTAAGTCGTTTATATAATTGGCAACAATGTTTCGATGAACCGGATTCTTCAATAAACGACTTCGAACATGTAAATATGTTACGTTCTTTGCACTCAAAGGATTGAAGAACACGACAATATCTCAAATTCTAAATAAATATTGCCATGGGAAGTAAGTAAAGGAATCAAAAGAGCTTTATGACTAATGTGCATCCGAATATATGGTAGATATTTTCAATATCGCAATGATAATATTCTTTTTATATCAATATAAACTTACACCACCACTATCTCTGCGTCCTCCTCCTCCCCCCCTGGGCCCACCTGCCATTGGTCCATTTCTAGAATTCTCCCTTCCTCCAATTCCGCTGCTACCCCAGCCACCGTACTCATCCGCATAAAACTCATCGTAGTTCTGGGGATCATATGGTTCCACGGGACCCTTGATCGGACACTGTAATGTAATATAAAATGGTCGGATCAGATCAAAAGAATATATTTGTTGTTTCAGGATGAATTTGTACTTAGAGTTGCTCCCATATCTAGCGCGCCATCTAAAAAAGTGAACCATAGTGATTACGCTTTGTATTTTACGTTTCCTGTTGCGAAACCATTTCAGGCAAGCGCGACAACTGACAACGCCGCAAGAAGAGGTACAGCTGCGCGCACACCCGAAATCTACCCGAGATTCCGCAATGAATCGCCGAAGTGTATAAACCTGTTTTACGAGCGTGTTAGGTCTGTTACGCAAGATTTGTATCACTCCTTGAAAACAATTAAATGGGTGAGTTCTCGAAATTTTGCGCGATCACAACACTTCCTCGTCAAAAGTATTACTCATAGCAATATACTCGACAGTGAAGTAAGTCGCATCCGTATAGCAAGTAATGTTGAATGACACAGTCGCTGAAGTTGCGTTTGTTTGCAAGTGTCTATAGAAACGCTGCAAGTGACAAATCTCACTCAGCTGAAGTTGGTCTGAAAATATCACCTCATTTAAGCCAAAAAAAGAGGCAATAAACTGAGCAAACTAAGGTGAGCGTATCTGAAATTGTGTGTAAAAAAACGCGGCTAATATCACTTTTCCGAATTTTTTCCCGATTACAATACTTTCCTCGCCAGTGGCGTCAGAAGTAAAAGTTATAAGATTTTTTTAGTGATCAAAATTTTAGGCGGTGCGTTAATTTCGATAAAGCATTAAGTTAAAATAACTAGTCAAACTAAATTAATGTTATATTATATTGTTTTTTAACATGAATGCCAATGAATGGCATTTTTATATTAGACTTTTATGTACAGTAACTATAATCGGGTTTAAATTTTTCATATAACAATGCGCGTCAGACTAAGTGAAAATATTTTTGTTCCTTGTAGTACAATACAATACAATCTATGGATATCTAGTTAACAACAAGTAGCTACTTACGAGTACTCGTTTCATTTATGTTTCAAGAACATGAATCCAGTTACGTTAGTCTCGCAGGTAGAGAATATTTTTGACTATAGTTGATGCGAAAGTGTGATTTCAAATTTAATCAAGTAGGGACGCATCTGAGTGGTACGAATATAATTATGTCTTTATTTGTGCATGCATGTAACGCCGTATATCCACGAATACTGTTTTCAAACTCAAACTCATTTGTACGTATAAACTCACTATTTTTTAAACCTCAGTTAAATTCATGCTAACATCTCTGCTACCGTCAACTTTCAGTTTTCTATTTTGTGCATGACTACGCGGATCGAAAGCATTTCTCTATCATCCTTAGTTTCAAAGGCAAATTTACGGGTAAATCTATGATATGTGAAATATGGTTAATAGGTGCATAGAATTACCGGGGTAATAAATATAAATATACTAATAAACTACGATCAAACAAAAATTCATTTTCATCGGGACTAGAGCTGCTATGTATGTATTGTAAATTGTTCAAAATATAAATATAATTTGTATAAAGTATAAAATATATAAGATAAATACATTTTGATTGCCTAAGATAAATGAAGCTTACCGATTTGATGAGGGTCAAAATTTCTCTGATAGCGTCAATGCACTTGCTCGCCTCTCCGACAATCTGTATAATACGATCAGTGCTTTGTGGGGCTGTGTTTGAGAAGATCTTGACTTTAGCTCCAGTTTTCTGCAATTAAATTTAAATGTCAAAATTTTACAAGTAGTACTTATAAATCTCATTTCACAAAAATAAAAACAAGGTTATTTATGCAGGATAGTTCTTAAATACTTACAACTTATGTATATATTAACTTCTACATTCTCAAACTATACTCTCAAATCGAATGTGTCTCCATGTATACGTAGTCGTGCCATAAGTTCTGTCCCATGATAATCTCATGATAAAAATGAAACAAGATAAGATATATTTATATGAAAGATATTATTTATTCGACAACATTTTTAGAATTCATAATCAAACAGTTTTATTCAAAATGTCCCCCCTTGGCCTTCACACACTGCTTCAATCTCGCGGGCCACTCATCTATCACTGCACGCACAGCTTCCAAAGGAATAGCTGCCGCTGATCGGATCAAATCCGCTTTCAGGGACTCGATATTACGGTGGGCTTAGGAGCAGGCCAACTGCTCTAGCAGGTCCCACAACTTGTAGTCTAAAGGATTGAGGTCCGGACTCCCTGAGGGCCAATCTTCCGCAGCAATGAACTCTGGCACATTGCTTTCCAGCCAGCGCTGCGTACTCTTAGCCTTGTGAGCGGGGGCGGAATCCTGCTGGTAGACCCAGTGTTGGTTGGCAAACAATGTACCACTTAAAGGCTTGACGATAGGATCCAGTATGTCGCTCTGATAGTTTGCCGCTTTTGTTTTCACGCCCTGTTTACAGAAATGGAGCTGAGTGACCCCTTCGTAGGACACCCCCCACCAAACCATGACTGACGCAGGGTGGTGGCCTCTCTCAACTCTCGGAATGATCTCCGAAGCTTCCTGTGAACTCCTTGCATACACTTTGTCATTTTGTCGGTTGAATTTTTCTTCTATGGTGAAGATTTTCTCATCCGTGAACAAAATCTTTCGGAATCCCCCAGCTGCGTACCTCTCCAAGAGCTTCTTGGATCTTGTCGCCCTGATGTGTCGCAAGGTGGCCGTAAGTCGCTGGCCCGTACGTCTCCGGTAAGCCCCTAGCCCTAGGTCTTGTTTAATGATGCGCGACATCGTCCGGACAGGAATCTTCATTTCCCTGGATAGGATCTTCTGCTTCCGGAGTGGATTCCTTTGAATCCTGGCTTTTACGGCTTTGATGGCTGCTGGAGTCCTTACTTGACGAGGTCTTCCGCTTCTTGGCCTGTCATCAACAGAGGACGTCTCATTGTACCGCTGAATGGTCCTAGACACAAATTTACGCGATATTTGAAGGCCGCGTAAGAGTTAAAAAATCTGACTAGCACTGTGATTACACTTATGTAAAGCTATCACTGCAATACGGTTCTCTGCCTTGCCCCACTCCATCGTTATGCTTCGAGAGATCAATACAAACTGAGGTATATGTAATTACCCGAAAAGCGCTTAATCAACTGACACCACAATGTAAACAATCGGACAAGTATTAACAGGTCTACACTTGTTTGAAAACGAGGGACAGAACTTATGGCATGACTACGTATTTTATTTACAGATTTGAAGAAAAAAGTAAAAAGGTCCCTGGTAGTCTAACCAAATTAGACGAAAAATCCTCTGGTTTGCGAAATAATTGTAATGTTTGGTTATATCACTGCAAATTTTTCAGTGTGTATTTAGAACATGGCGCATAAAATGGGTAGCATTTTTTATTCAACAATAAAAAAATGAGTAAACGTGTTCCAATCGGAAAAACGGTTCTAGTAACATGGTATTATGAAATAGTATTTAGTTTCTCAAATTAATAAAAAAATAAATAAACTGAAAATAACTATGCTTTGTGGATCCGAAACAGTGTTGCGTGTCGCCGAAACCGACTTTTCTTTCCACTACACCACGACACATCTTGGTCTATTTGATCTTTATGCCACTATACTTGATATTGACAAATCCCAAGTGAATATTGACGTCACATCAAATCTGTTATAAACAATTAGAATAATCTCGAAAATTATGAAAGATACAAAGCTGAAACTATAATACATTCAGGATTACTCCTGAGCACCCTACCTAATTTTTAGGATAATCAGTTACATACAACTGGTTGCTATTATTTCTCTACTGTTTTCACGCGATTTCGAGTTTCAAACAACCTAATGTATACTATATTAGAACTTATAGAAAAGGCCAACGAATTATATTTCTTAGATAACGTATTACGTAACATACTTATTGGACACGAAACCATCATTATGGGCACATAACTCTGCTAAGATAGACTGAAGCATCATTGTGCCTTTAGTCTGCATGGTAACTTTTCGAACAATTCAGTACATTTCAGTATAATTTTTTTTTAGGTTTCCCCTGATCGTGAAAAAAATTCCAGGTCTAAACATGAATAAACAAAAGTATGTATAATGCTTAATTATTGGATGAGTATACAGTCGTGTTACTTCACTTACACTTGAAACTTATCCTGTTGTTTTCATACTGATAATCATCCATGCCTGGCTGCGAAATGAAATCACGTATTATGCTTAAATTATTATTTACTGACGACGACGTTTCTGTCACTAGGGTCGCCTTTTTCACGTATTATTGACAATTCTGTGGACAATATATTTTATCTGTCTTCTAAGTGACACTTCGTGTCTGAACGAACCCGTTAAATGTTCAGTTTTTGCGAAGCCATCATTACAATTTTCAGATGTACATATTCTTGATATCTCGTGAATACATTCATTCAAGAAACATTCGATTCACTGACACTTTAACTATGCCTCTTAACAAATCTTTATTTCATAAATGCTTTACCTATAATGCCATAAATCTATATAATGCATTACCATCGACTGCTAAACATCTTAATTTCAATAAGCAAGTTGAAAAAATTATCTTTGATACTCAAATCTGAAACCCCCAGTATATAGTTGAGCCATATTTCTGCATACAATACAAATCGTTTATAGGTTTTCTTTCTTGTTGTTCACTCATGTGTACGTTGTATTCAATATGTAATTTTTGTTTAAATTTTGGAAGAATGTTTTGTTAAAATTGTTTTTAATATTCTTGTGCTGGTAATTTTCAAGGGTTGAGTGGTAGAATAGCTCGTAGCTAAACTTCGCCGTAAGTAAAAGTCGTTAAGTATTATTATTACTAATTCAAGTGCAGCTCCTAAATGTCAGATTGTCTCCCTTTTCAATTTCTATACACTCACTTTCTAAATGATTAGATTTGAACATACATTTTCCAGTAACTAATCACCTGTTTACACTGATAGCTCGACTAATTTACAAGGATTACCGGGTAAACCGTTTCACTTGCAGAAAAGGATAGAGGATTTTAGTCAGTAGAATCTAATTTCTTAAAAACCGGAATGACAAATGTGTTATCAAGCAAGCTGGAATTCTCTTTGTTTAACGGTCCTGAAGATAGCTAGAATGTCTTATTGGAATATTTAACTTTCTTGTCACACGTACCCATACTGTGGAATCTTGGTGGTTTGGTGTGAGCTCAGAACAGGGTATTGTGTTCTATTTTCTGATAAGTCAATACCCAACGATTAACAAAGCAAATTAACGAAAGTTTTTGAGTATACAAACATAAAACAGATGCAATTCTCATTATTTAGGATGGCGACCGTTAGTTACCCGTAAATCGACCACGTATTTTCCTTTCACGATGAAAATTCCGACGAAACGTCAAAAAAAGTTGAATGTGCAATGGTACATCTGAACCCAGTGCCGAAACACCCGGAAAGGATCTGTTGCCAAATTGAGCACCATCGACAGCAACTCAGTTTAGTGTGGTTTTTACAAGAAAATTATGTGTAGGTATCCTACACATTCAAAAAATGGCACTTGGAAGTTAATGTTAACATCTATATTGTAAGATGTTCAAATGAAATACAGGTGCTGTTCCTGCTTGCCTGGAAAGTGGAGAATTAAAAGAAACAGCTCATTTACGTTACTTCAAACACAATATTTTATTTATTTTTTACTATTTTAGACTCATGCTCGGTATCAACATTTTTTCATATATCTGTATCTATACCGTCGTACTTGTGAAAGGCAGTGAAGGTCATTAACTGCCTTTTTTAAATTTTGAAGAGAATTTCTTTTAGGTTTACAGTTACAAAATATAGTTGATCCAGTTAATAAAAAATATAGTTGTTTTTCACTATGTCAAAATTTTATATTAATTACATTTCCTAAGCATACACGCAGTAAATCAATCTATCAAAGCAAAAAGCCGGTAGTTTTCAAACTATACTGCTTTATTTTCTGTATGATACAAGTATGTACTGCATTTTTACCTTTCTTAACATATGATGATGTTTACTTATTAAGTTTTTTATCTAATAATTCTATTATTTGTGAATAAGTATTTATCGTTATAAACAATTACTTTTGTCCCGAAAGAATAATTTTAGAAAACTATCTTCGTTTAACTCAACATATGACAGATGAATAATGTATTTTTTCGACATTTAATAGTGAACCGTCAGCAAAATACACATCTCAGCTCAGATTTGTAAGCATAGTATATCAGATTTTGTGAGTGGCTTGGCAACTTCGCATCAGATAAATGTAAATCCTCTGTTGGAAGCCGGTATCGATTCGCACCGCCGCGCGTGCTTGACTCCACGTGATTGTGGTCCCGTTTCGCACCTGTCTCCCACAAAACTGGCACGATTTACCTGACCGCCATGTTGCCGAAGTATACGATATGTCCAATCGTAGGATGGTATCAAGTAGGTTGACTCGGCTATTCTCACGTATTACTTTTCCAAAGGAGGGGGCACAAACCTTACGGTAAACAGACCCTGGTGGATCTTGCTCAAACTTTGGGAATACGCTCTCCAGAGCACCCTCATCAAAAGTTCCTATACACTCTCCACAATCCAATGAAGCGTTTCCATGATATACAGGGTGTCATAAGCAATTGAGAACGGAGCAATACGTATCAAAGAAAAGTATTTATGGATTATTTTACATGGTATCCGAAACACATTTCTAAAATGCTCATAACTATACAGGGTGTCCCAATTTGGCCCCACATCAAAAGCTTTAAATGAAAAGCCCTACTTTATATTACACACTAGGATATGTGCTTTTAAAAGTAGAAGATTTATATAACCTACTTGGGGGTTTTGATTAATAGTTATTTCATAGAAAAGTGACTTGACCTTGAATGCGAAATTCTAACTACCTGTGTTTTCCTCTCATCAATATACGAGTATTATGCCTACGCTGACGCGAACTGTCATGAGAGCTGACATAAGGTTGTTAAAATTTGGCGTTTTTTTTTTTTTTTTAGAAAAATAGCCAATATTCCAACAACTAATAATCAAAATCTATAAGTATCTTCTTTTAAAAGGGCCTATCCGAATGTGCAATAAAAAGTAGGGCCTTAAAACAAACATTTTTGATGGAGGCCAAAATTGCGACACCCTGTATAATATCCCATAAGTAGTTTTTATTTAGGAGCAATACTCCGATCGCACATGCTTGGTACACCATGTATATCATGGAAACCCTTCATATCATTGTTAAGAGCCCGTGAGAACTTTTGATCAGGTTGCTCTGAAGAGCTTATTCGCAAAATTTGAGCAACGGGGACTGATTTCCGTAAGGTTTGTGCCCCCTTCTTTTACATACGTACAAATTGGAAATCCATAATACACAAACACCATTCAAATTTTGGAAATTGAATCAACTACAATTTCAAATGTCTAGTTTTACTGGAAAGGTTGAAAATTATCATTTAAGAATGAAACAATATCATTCAAATGCCTGTCACGGTTCGCCTGACAGTACCTCACCCGAATATTCCGATTTTAAATTACTATTTCGATTGTTCGGACTTGAACATCTTGAATGGCAACTTATATTTCGAGTTTGAAGGCCTAAATTGTCTCTGGATAGTTTAGTTATGTTAAAACTAATGTTGATTATTCAGTGTTCGAAAACGGGGCACAAAAGTTATTGTTACGTTGACTATTTTGTTGCACCGTTTTGTTATCCATGCCATTCTCTTCAAATTTTGGAAACAACAACTCTAAACCCGGTAACGTTTACCATTGAAACTGAAAAGTCAGATCGTTGCTCATTTTCGAAGCAAATAGACCAATGATCTCGTTAAACCAAACAGTTATTCTTTGTATCTGCATTGCCTCAACCATGTGTGGAGGTGACAATGAGCTTTGACTGAAAATCGTACCCAATTGTGGTCATTCGACCAAGCGATTTTCAGTCCATTGGGCGAACCGAGAACGCAACGGATGGTCTCATTTCGTGAAAGTCAAGCAAAACGAATTTTCTGACAAGTCATAAATGTGATTTCAGTTTTCAGTGTTAACACAAGAGCCTCTTAAAATTCCAAATATTGATGGCCCACGCTGAAACGGTAAGTCACAATTCAAAATTTCTGAACAATCTTAAAATTTGTTTAGACTGCGCTAAGTGACCAAAAATTGCTATTGCGTCTGAGATTATGATACTTTCCTAGTTCTAGAGGCGTTTCATATTAGAACACATTAAAATTACAAGTATTTTGCAGAAATTTTACATAAAATAAAATACTAATCGGCACCCGACTTTTTGAAGTTCTCCTGAAATACCGACAATTATATGTAAACAGGGGTCCCAGAAATAACACGCCATAGTGACACGGGAGGTAACATAGATTGGCTTCAGATCAATCAGATAAAATCGGTATAGAAAGTTTTATAGTTTTCGAGATATAGCCACTTTTAAGTTTTTTCATAAAAATTACTACTTTTTGCGCTTTTTTTGCCTGTTATGGCTATAAAGAACTTCTAACTTATGACTTTTTTCCTGGACTACTATTAATAATTGGTTGAGACAACCTAGTATTCATTTCATTGAAAGCTAGCTAAAAAAATAAATTATTACATTTTGTTTCAAAGTTTGACTAATTACTATGAAAAAAATGAACCATACTGAATAGTCAAATGATCTTAAAAAGTAGCCTACTCAATGCTATTTTAAAAATATTAGTTTTTATTTATAGTATTTCGCAGGTATTACGACTTCAATGACGAAATTTAGAATTATTCAGTTTTTAATAAAAAGAACCAGCAAATGTTTTACATTTTCAACACGTAGACTGCCACGGCAATTTTAAGAAGTTCCACAAATAATAAAATATTTTATTTCTTGGATTTGAATTAATTTTTATAATATTTTTTGTTCGTTTTTTAATAAATTTTCTGTTCATGCAAGCCAGTCCAGAAGCCATTTATCCATAATTGCACTGATATATTTTTAGTTTAATCGTAACTGCACAAAAATGGCAAGTATACAGAGGGCGACATAACTCGTAGTTGGCGCTCCAGCAAAGAACGCAATCTACGACTTATCTCATAGTTGGCAGTCAAGGTGTTAAAAAAACATCAAATAGCTAGTTTTTAAGCTCATTTGCTGATTCAGTCTGGTACATTTTTTTCACAGTAATTGGTCAAGCTTCAGTAAAGATTAATAGTAGGTCACGAAAAGAAATCATAAGTTAGAGGTTCTTTATATCCATAACAGGCAAAAAAGGAGCAAAAAGTAGTAATTTTTTGAAAAAACTTAAAAGTGGCAATATCTCGAAAACTAGAGAACCTCTACTAAGGTCATGTTGATTTTATCTGATTGTACCTCCCATGTCACTCTGGCGCGTTATTTCTGGGACAGTATATCACCTGTTAAACTGTAAAATATTAAATTATTTTTAATTTGCAATTTGTCAAGCATCAAGTTTCGTAAAAGAAAAGTGGGTTACTTACATCTCTGATCTCTTTAATCTGAGCACCTGATTTTCCTATCACGCATCCAGCTTGGCTTTGGTGGATCAGCATACGAAGGTCTAACTCTTTTCCACCATTTGAATTCCCCTAATGAAAAAAAACTGTTCATAAACAGGTTTGGTCTCTCTTCAAATGTTTACTTATCAATAAACCCAGCTTTTATGGAAGATGGTCAACACACAATCACCTTAATAAAACCAAAACGGTGACCCCAAATGATAAGTTGGTCATTCAATCGTAAATTATTAGAACAGTTTATTTTTTATTATCAATAGTTTTGTTTACAAAAATCAAAATAATATGGAGAATTAGGAATTTTTCATCTAACATCCAAATGACAAAAAGGGATTTTAAAGAAACTTAACGTGGCGCATCTCCATATTGTTCAAATGTCAAATAAATAGAACGGTTATATTGGGCGTTTGATATTTTTCAATTAATGCATAGTAATTGATTTTCTACAATTTTTTTATTTACGTTTTTGCTGCTGTTTTATTGCACATTGGCCTTGTTATACTAAACTTAGTTAGATAGTTCTTAATTTCGAAAAAGGGAAGTCCCAAGTTTCAGGACACCTTGTATAGTAAATGTTTTTCGAACCAAGAGCGTGAAATAAATATGTCAAATGAATTTAATAATAGTACGAATTTCCAAAATGTGTAATTCATACGTTCATTACAATCTGTTTTAACTATAAAACAAGAACATCGATAAATAAATCACATTTTAATTCTATTCAGTCCCAGATCTATTGTTTGTATCAATTTTTATATAAAAGTCCCACATAAGTTCTTTGTATCAAATAGTTTTGATTTATTTCTCCTGTATTTCAGGGTAGACGGCAAACATCTTCGATTCACCCAGTACAAAAGGTCAAAACTGCAAAAAAAAACAAATAATACTTACGTCTTCCAAGTTAGGCACGACATCATCAATAATATTACATACGCTATCCATGTCCGAAGAAAGGGATAGCAACCTGTAATAAAAAATTATACCCTAGCACATTAGATGGTATATATTATTTGTACCACTGATATCCAAAAGACGAATGCTTTGTTATTTCAGTGCAGCAGAACTATTGATCTACTCGAGTTATAATAATATACGTGTAATAATAATCCTTGGATCACAACAACAAAACAAAATATTCCAAACAGATACTGTGATACAGATACGCTGTTTGCTTGATGAAAACTGGGATTGAGACGTACCATTCTATATGGCTAATAAACTTGAAAGATACTGATTTCAATATTTTTACAATATGGTGGTTCAAACAGCTTAATCTTTGACAAACACCTCTTTGATCTCTTCCAAACTGTGATAGCATTGCTGTATGTATGCCAAAAGACGGGTGTTGTATTAACCAAAGGGCCTCTGCAATGTTGGCCTGTTTGGCAGATCTCACAAAAATTCAGTTGTGTGTCAATTAGAACTGTTTAATGAAATGTTAATATTCTCAAAATTCTAAGTTGATTTTGCATTTCATTCTTGAGCTAAGGATTGAAAAAGTTTGAATATTTGGATTGGTTTACAAGGGCTATGGAAACTAACATTTACACCATTATCCAAATAAAGATAAACTTCCAGAATGTAAGATATGGTTTCACCAAAAAAGCTTTGATAAACAGTCCATCGCTAGAGAGACCTAGAGACTTGGGTGAAGGTGGAGATTAAATAACCTTTGGTGATAAATCAACAAAATCAGTTATCAATTTTTTTCTGTCACTAACATAAAGCTAACTACTTGAAGATATTAGATATCGGGATTTCCCAGAAAATAGGATATACAAACCCAGCATTTTTCAAGTTTTACACATATTGTTCAGTTACAGGGGCTGCGCTTTATAACAACACAATACCAGAAAACAAGGTTTCGTTTTTTTGGAAAATTCCTACTGGTTACTCATTATAAATTTCGTGAACTGACTAGCATAATAAAAGGTAATCAGCATTATAAACATATAAACGTGTATGAGAAACGATACTATCGTTTAAATCTGTAATCACACGTTTCTCACCGTAATAGCTTATTCGTTTTATACAGGGTGGCCCGTTTATAGTGGTCCAATTTTCTTTGGACACATAAGGTCATAACTTATTTCGCTTCAATAGGTATGCTTTTAAAATCAATAGTATCGGAGCTCGATTTTTTGCATTTTTTCAAAATCAATTTGTTTGAAAACTATACCACTGTATCGAATGAAGGCAGGGACGTTAAGTAGTGATGTAACAACCATGCAGTATACGGCATTTGTGTTTTATATTTATCTCCTGTAATTATCTAGATTTTAATGTAGTTTATTTATTTTCACCTAAAAGAAACCCTACTTTAAAAATCAGATGTGAACATTTTGGGAGCAGAGTTTATTCTGTTGTGTTATAAACTACTTAAGAGTCTAGCATTAGACTGTGTAAAAAACAGGATGATTGAACTACAATAACAACCTCAGAAACTGAGAAGTATAGCGGAACCTCTAAACAGGAACTTCAGTTGCAACAGTTGTTACAAATAAGCTGTTATGAAAGAAATTGTACATATTGCTTTTGAGGATTTGCAAAATTAGTTTTGAGTCGTAAACATGCACTCATTATAAATTTCGTGAACTCACTTGCATAATAACAGGTAATCAGCGTTATAAACATATAGAGTATTCGAAAGGATACACGAATTTATAATTAGCGGTTAGTAGTGTGGGTTCATAATAAATTCAGGTAGCTACTTTAGTATTTATTAGACTAATAACAAAAGTTTATTTAAAGTAAATCTTCAAAATTATTTTCACTCGGAGAAAAGCCTGTAGATTCTGCCTTATTGCTGTTGCCTGATTTTCCGGCGCAAAGAGCGCAAGAGTTGTACTCAATCGCGCATAAACAATCTCTTTAAAGTGTCCCCAGATGAAAAAATCAATAGGGTTGAAATCTGGGAATTCTATGCTGGTCAACCTTTTGTGTCTCTGGATATATAGCATTAATAGAACGCCATCATGCTGCAGCCACATAAACTACTGGACATCTCTTGAAACGTCGCCAGAAAAGTTTAGTAGATCATTTTGTAAAAAAAATATATATTCCTCTGCATTCAAGCGATATGGAAGCTTGACCCTATCAGTTGTGGGTTTGAAACCGAATAATACTATAAATTATGGGCATTAAATAACCCAAAACTTTCAAAACTGCTTTCATCAGACCACAAAGCTTTGTCAAAGAGTTGGATCTTCCCCATGATTTGCCATCATTACCCGACAAAACGGTATGCATGCTATTGGCGTGAATAAATGTTTATATTGGTGATCTAGGAATTCCAGTACGATACGCCATTACGTACTGTTTTTGATTGCCAAATTTCATTCGATTTAGTAGTATTCAAACATTTCGAATTTTTATGACGGGAATCACGAACATTAGAAACACTGCAAAAAAGTCTAGCTCAAGTGAAATTAGTTATGAACTCTTTTATCCAAAAAATGTGTTTGTACTAATATAAACGAGCAAGCCTGTATAATTCGTACGATTTCCGGGAAATGTAAAAACTACTCTGAATTTCAATACTTATATTTTACCCCTATTACCTTGAGAGTAAAAATGACGCTGGGATTAGGATAGAACCTAGAATCTCATTTTGATAGTTTTAATGGACTATAAAAAAAGAAGGACAATCAAGGACTGATGTGTGTTCTGGGTCGAGAAGAGATAACTAGAGATACGCAAGGCTCAAGTTGGAGATGCTGGAACTTCACACACACTTTTTTCGAGGAGTATAAAAATATTCTGGATTCATTTGAGAATAGAAACTGCTAACGGTAGAGAAATTCAGAGTATGACATGGTATTCCCAACTACACTACTTTCAATATAACAGTACACCATTTTGGTGTAGACGTCATTCATACCTATTTAGCGTTTCCCTAATAGAACTATAAAAACTATATCGAGCTTTATCTGATAAATAATTGAAATCGCATTCGCTATATACCGTTATCTTCTATTAACGGTCACGGTTGAAACTGAAACACAAAAAAACAATACAACATTCTGCGAATCGTTGAAACATTATTGTAGTCGTCATTACTATCTTAAAATGTTGTGTCCCTGTTTTGTACTGTGATAAAAGACATTCCACGATTGCGATTTCAATTTGAAATGTTTCACGCATTGCTACCAGTATTATGCAAACAATTATCAAATAACAATATTCATGAAATCCCGACCAGTTTATAGAAACCGCAAACCATACGGAATAATTGAGGATCATGGGTACAGGCAGTCTTTAAAATGTTACTTAATTTGTGAAGAACCTCAATGAGAACTTTCCTTTTAATTTGATTATTCGTAGTTTGTCTATTTTATGTTGTTGAGAATCAATTTAAAAATTGTTGATGCAGTTCTGTGTTTTCTTCACCGCATTGGCCAATCTCCCTCTAACTTCATTCGCTTTGCCTAACTGTCTTGGTATACCTTCTCTTGACTGTATGCGAGACTTTATAATTCATTAGAGAAACGCTACTGATACTAATCCCCACACTAGGGTAGGTAATAAAGGCACACACGGGCACAGAAGTTGTGGTTGCATTAGCTTAAATATAGAGATATAAAATGGTTGACTTAAAAATTTACCGTTCAGGGCCGGGGCAATCAGGGACAGTAATGGAGGCTTTGTACTGTTCAGTCGAGATTTTGGTGGCATTGATGGCATTGTTGGCATTTGGGCAATGGTGGCATTGTTGGCGCGACATGAGGGACACGTCAGCGCGGGGCACATCGTGGGACAAAATAATATGAAATTATTAAGGGTTTACGTCACGTACATAAGAGATAAAACTAAGTTTTGATCAACAAAAATAAAGATGTACAAGCTACTCTGCAAGGGATACCTTGCGCTAAAACCACAGCTTAGATAACAGTCAGCTATGAAACTGCATTATCAGTGTCAAAAACGGCCGCCATTTCAAATAAGAAAATGAAAAATCGCGGTACAAGTTTGGTGTTCCATGGTTCAGTAATCCATGCTAGTGTTAATGGTCGCAACATTTTTTTTCTATATGATCTTAAAAAAAAAGTTCCTATATAATTTGGGAAAATTGTGTTAAACAGCACCCTCGAGAAGCGACGCCGCACAAACCAAGCTGTATTTAAAAATTATAAATACTGATACAAATATTGAATTGTTCTTGTCAATATAATACAGCAGAGTCACAAATACTGATTTTTCGAATCTTACTTTGCAAGTTGCTCCTCATCAAAGCAATATTCTTTACTATTTGATATGTTTTAGAAAGAGGGACAGAAATGTCGCTAATAATCGATTCTATTTTAAGCTCGGGTAGCTTGCAAAAAATGGAGTTTTTCGTACGATCCAAAATGACGGCCGTTTAATGACACGGACAGGATTTTCATAGCTGATTGTTATCTAAGCTTTGGTTGAAGTAGCCTTTCGATTATAACAGCAGTAAGGGAGGATTGTCACTTAGTAAGACGCAACTCATTTAATTGTAAGAAAACATCGATAACATACCATCCTCAAAATAAAAAAAAATAAATAAAAAATAAACTATATAATTTGTTATATCAGCTTAAAGGTATAAAAGATGTAATAAGATATGCTTGAAAAATGAATATCTTGAGATTACATTTGATAAAATTGAATAAGACTACCGAGGTATTGAGGATTATTTCTACTTAAAAGCAGATCCATTTTTGGTGGTCAAAACTTATAATTACAAGTATCATATTACAATAAAGCTCATTAATTGACAAAAGAATAAATCTGAAGCAATTTGTAAACTTGATTTACTTACAAACGCCGCGATTCTTTAAAGTAAATACTGACCTGACTCCTCAGTTTCGTAATATTCTGTCCACCTTTTCCAATAATTGACCCAGCGACCTGTAAGAAAATTAGAAAAAGCATTTATCACCTTAAATTTGTATGTTATTTGTCTCGTACCATATACTCGATATAGCAGCACAGTGATTAACGTATTCTACCCAACGATAGACAAGCATGCGGCGCCCAAAAAATTAGCCGAGATCAAATGAGATACCGTCATATATTTTTCCCAGCTGTCTCTCTATTTGCTATATATATTATATATATTGAAAAGGTTAGTGTCTCATAGATGGATTTCTCCTCTCCGAAATAATTAGAAATCTACTTTGAAAATGTTAGTGTTTCACAGATGGCGCTGTAGCTAACTAACTACATGCTCATACAGTTCGCTACAGCGGCATCTATGAGAACTTTTTCAAACAAACTATAGTAGCGACAAATTTTCATAGAGAACAGGGCTCATTTACCATCTCAGATAATTGTTTGAATACGATAATCGGTACAGCGAAAATGTCGATTACCTTAAATATGATCTAGATAATGTCGACAGAGATTTTTGACAGCAGATTCGTGTAAAATTTGAGATTTTTGGGGCATCAAACAAAATGGTCATAAGTGGTCCAATGAGTATGAAAGGTACACCAACATTCCGATAACCCGTCAACCTCGCATTGAAAAATTAAATGACCTTCCTGCTTCCTCTGAGAAGAATTACTGCAGGCGCACATGATCGTTGCGATGACCAATCCCGCGTGAATGATGATGTTTGCCTTCACCACGCACAGTCCACGCAGCCCACAGTAGTGCGAGTGCGATTGCCTACTGTGACGTACGACCACTGACCACGATGCTTGTCCATCTGGTGACGACGTCGCACGTATCGAAGACATTGAAGAAAACCAAAATGGCCAAGAGAAAAATGAACACAAAAAAGTTGATGAAGCATGCTATCCAGAAAAAGACGAAAACGAAGACATTCAGGCAAAAAAATAAGACAAAAACAAAGATCAGGAAATAATCCTTAATTTAAACAGCAAGGAATCATTCATACTGACATCCAGACAAAACGGGCACTATAATTTGAAAAAGCGGACTAAACGATCGATAAAAACTAGTGATCCGTCACATCCGTCATTGAAAGCTGGAGATCATGTCATCATACCAATTCCAGACGTAGAAAAGCAAATCTTCGTAATATTCTTGGAGTTGTACTAAGTCACTTCATCTCGACTATATAAAATAGGAACAATGGATCGCATATTGAACAAATTACACTGCAGGTAAAAACGTATTTTTTATATCAGGATGTGTGTAAATGAAAAGAAAGAGAATGAAGAGTGTATGAGAGGGTTCAGGTGTTTTGAAATGAGGGGGAGAGGTGTCTGTGAGGACGCTTGAAGGAGATTGTATCATCAATGGGTGAGCGAGTATGTATGAGATAATATCAGAGCTATAATAAGATAATGTATTTATATTTTTACACGTTAGAATTTGACGGCTGCTGCGAAATATTCCTATGCAAGGACGAAGTGCCAAACATCACCATCACCTTAAGAACTGCTGCAAGGAATTCTGCTACTGCAACTGTATAGTATTTTACACGTCATAAATTACGCAAGTTTTGATTCTGAAAGATTGTCAGAAAATATGCGTGATTTTAAAACTATTCCTTCCCTGATTTTCCTCTTTAAAATGTAAATATCGCTATGTCAAACTTTTATCAAAGTCATAGCATTCAAGTTTTACAAAAAATGTTGATAAAACCCGCCAAAAATAGTGATTTTAATGTTGCGTTAACTCAATCATGGAAACAAATGAGTTCAAACATACAAGGTAATATTTTTCAGATGTGCTGTTTACATACGTACCTTACTGGGTATAAGTAGACGGACTTCTTCATCTCCTCTTCTAGATCTCTTGAATGGCGATCCCATATCACCATCAGCTTCCCGCTTCATGACTATTTCTCCCTACCTGCAGTAGATAATATAATTTGTGAAAAAGGTTATAACCTAGCAAAGAGAAACGCTCAACAATTAAGCAGCGTAAAACCAACGCATACTATAGTCCTTCTAATACAAATTGAAACAACAAAAAATAGGGGTCGTCAAAAAAGGCGTGTCACTAAAGATCTGAGGTAACTCGCAAAAATACATGTAACGAAATTTTGCCATACGAGCCACACTTAACGCTGACAAAGTTCATTATTGCAGTATTGCTGGGTTTGCCCAGAAAGCAATGAGCCTTATTTAAAGAAAAATTATTGATCGGCAAAGTACAGAAAGTCAATCTTCGAAGTAACACCCTTCAGTATCGATACACTTCTGCAAACGTGATTTCCAAGCCGCGTACCCTCCCTGGAACTCCGCGACCGAGATGCTGTTTAGGGAGGCCGTCAAAGTACTATAGCTTGAATGCTGTATGGGGTGCCTAGATGCTGTCCCCAAAGGGCCCCTTTTTTAGCCGAGGAAACAAAAAGAAGTCTGCTGGGGCAAGATTGGATCTGTACAACGACCGAAGTACCATTCTGACACCGTTCTGGGACAGGTAGGCTGCGATGAGACAGGTGATGTGGGATGGCGCGTTATCGTGCATAACGGCCGAATTTCTTTTTGGCCGCGGGCAACCCTGTGGTTCTGAAGTACATCTTTGTAGAATTGACCATTAGCGCTCTAGCCAAGGGGTAACAAGTCGTAATACACGATTCCCTTAGCATCAAAGAAAACAATGGCCATGGACTTCACTCGAAACTTGCTCATTCGAGCATTTTTCGGGCACGGCGACGCGGAAGTGTGCTATTCCGCACTATGCCGCTTTGTCTTCAGATAGTACTCGACGATCCATGCCTCATTTCCATTTATAACATTGTCTAGGAATGTTGATTATCCCCTTTGGTATTTTGTTTAGTTATTTTCAAAACGTTGGACGAGGTCGCAAAACAGGGGTTCACAAAAAGCGAAGTCCGCACCTTCCAACAGCTCGCAGGCAACTGTCAAGAGCATCGCTGGAAAGATGAAGGTTTTCAGCATCCTTCTCGCCGCGCTGAGTTGTAACCTCGCGACACAAAAAATGAAGCTCACTACTTTCCGAATTTGACCTGTTCTCACGATTAATTTAATTAGTCGATTCTCTAAAAATTATTGATTAACTGGAAACACATAAAACAATGTGATGGCGATTTTCGGGTCTATGTCTTTACTTTGATTTTTTATTGTTTATCAAAACAGAAAACATAAATGAACTGTACTAACGAACAAAATTTTTAAATTTTCTAGACATAGTGTATGTAATATAACACAAGCTTCTCTACAAATTAGGCTGTCTCCCTCTCATTGCTATTTTATTAACCTGGTTTTGCGAAAACCTAAATCACTTTATCACCATTATCGATGTTTCGAATGTTTCCGCTATCTTAAAATTTTAGCTTCCTAACTTGAAAAGTACTGTATACTCGTATTTAATGGTATGGAGGTATTTATTTTTCTATTCAATCGTCAGAACGCGGTTCCAGATCTCCTACAACACTGACTCCATTGGTTTAAAAAATGTAATTTTTCATGCACGGTTTTAAACAAATGCCCTAATGACAAAATTCGCAATCTTAACGCATTATAATTCCATTCCATTCCATTGCTGATAATGATGACTCATAGTCGGTACATACATGGAGAGTCCAAGTGTAGGGGGCCATCGAAATACCGCTCCACTGTAACATTCTTATGTATTTCAATATGATCTCGAAAAATAAACCCAAAAGACATATGGAAAGTAATTAATTTTGAAATGAATATGACTGTTAATCATTGCGATATGTCGCCAGATAATTTTAACGACTACTTCATATCTATAACAGCCAAAATTATACAGGAATTATCAGACATTTAGGAAGATGCAGAAACTTTTTTAATGCCCGAAAAACGTCAAATTCAGTTTTTCTGTCACTTGTTATATCTGATGAGGTAGGAACCTCAGGAGATACTATTCTTCCATAGAATCAGTGAATATTTATTTAGTTCAACCCCTTTAACCCTTGATTTTCTATGGGGATTTATCCCGATGCTTTCAAAGTAAATAAAGTAGTATCCATTTATAAAAAGAGTGATGCACCATCCACGGCCAATTTTTACAATACCCATTATAGCTAAGATTTTCGAAGAGATGATAAACACTATTGCTTTCATCAACTACTCAGGCACCCTCAGAGGGTGGAATGAGATCAGTGACCCTTTATAACCTTTCTAAAGCGTTTGGCTGCTTATCTCATGAAATTATTTTGACAAAGATGGCATTTTATGAGATCCACGGACACGCTTTACATTTCTTTACCAATTCTGGGGTACCTCATGCGTCGATATTGGGTCCCTTGCTGTTTATAAAATATATGTCAAATATATATTGCATTATACACTTCCGGTAGAGTGTGTATATTTTGCAGACGATTCCGACACTAATACAATCCAACACAAATAAAGATTATCTCATTGATGAAGTCGAACAGACTACAAAGTAGAATTGTGATTTGACTCAAAACACAGAATCATAATGTTATCAAATAAAATAATTTTACCAAATAAAGTTTGTGTATCTATACTTGGAATAACTATCAATGCTTCACTTAAATGGGATGGTCATATGGATACACTATACAAAAAATTAACACTTAAATATTTGCTTTACGACAACTGAAGACTAGCATGGATAGGGAGGGATTGAAAATGTCTATTTTACATTTTCATTCAAACATCACTTACGGCATAACTCTATGGGGGTAATTCCTGTAATGTTAAGATGGTGTTCAGGTTACAGAAAAGAGTGGTCAGAATCCTTACCCATTCGAAGTATATTGGACACTGTAAGCCTTTATTCAGAAGTCTAACAATAATAGTTCATATTATTTACGTTACTACATCTTCATCAGAATGTTGAAAACATAATACCGATTCCGACTTCCACAACTACCCGACTGGAGGTGCAGGAGCGCTCTGAGACCTTCTAGGTTCAGATTAGCAATTCCTTGAACCTGATACTTTATAACTGCCTGGGGGCATTCGTGCAAACACTTTCAGATTCAAGAAGGCTGTCAAAAAGCTCAGCGAGTGTTTCTGCAGGACTGATAAGCTACGTGTTTTACTTAAAGTTTGTGTGCCTGCGTTTTTTACACATTAATGTTTTTATTCATTCATGTTTGTCTGTGCCTTGATATTTTATACATATATGTACAGTATTGAATACGTTCTAAGCCAGCTCCTTGTATTGTAACTATTCATATATACATTTTATGTATCAAGTGGTCAATAATTACAAACAATAGTAACCACAACAATGTCCGCCGCAAAACGTTTCCAGATTGATCGTTCGAAATCGTGTCCGCGAAACCGGATTACGAGCATATGTCCCAAAGTTGACACCGGAATCTCGCCCAGCTGGTTTGGCATACGCACTTCAATAATGTAAACTGAAGCGTAAGGCCGCAGGATATCCGTCGTAACTGACGGGTTCGTCTCTTCATCCACAACGTCAATGCGGGTGATTCCCAGGGATCGGTCTTGGCTCCGACGATGTTCCGCTTACATATTATCAACGACTTCCTTTCCTGTTCGGTCAACACAACTCACAGCTTTCGATGGATGGCCGAGTTCTACCGTCCATTTCGGAAGGTCGGAGTCCAGACCACCGAGGACTGGATCTGGCACGAACACATCTAATAGCGGCAGCTGCTGGGAAAAGGCTAGGCTATTTGTTTAGGGCTAAGACGTACTTTCCTCCACATGACCTCCTCACTCTGTACACGTTTCTTTATGTTCCTCATAAGCCTCGGTACACTGGCATCTAGGCTTTTCTGCCTGCGCGGCTGTTTAGGTGTAAAAAAACAACGATGTTGTTTTCTGACGAATCTCGATTCTGTCTGCATGGTAAAGCAAGGAGTCACTCTCGATTCTCAAGGAATGTCTATAAAATGTGACCCTTAAAGGCTGTTAAAAATCAATATTTTTGAGATCGCTAAATAACAGCTGAAACCTTACCTTACAAACCACGAAAAGTTGGTTTATTTTAAAGCACTGATATTTTATTGGTGATAAAGCGCTATATGTTGGAGCGACGCGCGCGTGAACTATAGTGAACTTTAACTTGGCAGTCGCCAAAGTAATTTTGAGCATTGAAAACCGCCATTTTTAGGGGTTCTCAGATGTTACTCGCTTATAACTTGCTAGAGAAAAAGTACTAGGAACTTTTTTCTGACCAGGATGGGTAAAAAAACTAAATAAAACTTTGCCCTGAGCGAAGAAACGAATTTATTGTAATTTATTTAAAAAAATTGTCCAAACAAATTTGTACAGAACGGCAACTTTTTGATTCGTGTTACGGGACTTTCAAGAAACGTGAAATTGAGTTGAAAAATGTCTCACACGTGTGAGCGGATTTCTCTTCGTCTAATAGCGAAATATCGATCTTTGGTATTTTCTTATATCTATTTATTTATTTTTCAATAGCTGTAACAAGCGGTAAAAAGTGTCTGTACCAATATAAATTGCAAACAATTGAAATAGAACGAGATGTTCCAGCAAGTAGCTGCTAAAAAAGCATTCGTAGTGAGTGCTGGGACAACATCCAACACGTTCTGCCAGTTGAAGAATATTATACTTGATTTTTTACCTTTGAAAGTAAGTTAATTCCTATTGTTCCTTTGTAAAGTTCAGTAAACTTTTGATCGTTGCTACATAAAAGCTAAAGCTGATCTTAATACGGCCATGGCTGATATATGTTACACGAAAGGTTAGATATCTATACCAATCTCATTATGTTTAAAATATAATTTAACTAATAATGTAAAGTCCGAAACTAAAAAATCACTTACCTATAATCAGACCCTGCGAAGCTTGCTAGCAAGAACCAGGTGTATCTGTAAATAAAAATATAGCTTCAGAAACTGGCAAAGATGACACTAAGGCAAGACATT